TGCTCGTCATGACATGAGCAGTGGCAGAGGAAGAAGGTATACCCGGTTATGTGATTCGATGTATTTCCTTGTCTGGTTTCCTTTATTTTACCCCAATTCCCCTTGAGTTACTTTTTTTCTCCCTTCGCGTAGTAGGGTGCCGTTACCCACTTTCATCCATCTTGTACCTTGTGTGTTATCTTCATGGATACCTACCTCTGTTTGACCACCTTTGATGATTCCCCTTGCTGCTGATCTTCGTATTGTTCAACCATCCATTGGTGACGGAGCCATGGAATGAGATGTGTTCCTAGCGACGATGTCTCCATACTACCTTGTTATGTTTTTCCGTGCTTCCAGTTCTAGCGATTGTTTCAATACCCTTGATATGTTCACCTTTACCCATTATCGATTACCCCCTAGCGAAAATACAATGAAAACAAACATACCATCCTTACAAATCGGCTATAAGAACCTTATCCTTCTCATACATAGTATATAGAGTATATGTTTTACCGCGATCCACAGATCCTATCTCATTCTTAGACTAGTTCTATGCCCTGACCCTTCCATTCAGCTATCACCTGTCACCCAAACACATTTGAATAAGATGCAGACAGACGCCAAACTCACTCTTCAAAAAGTTTCATCTTAATCTAATAATTATAATCAAGCAATTAATACAGTATCCAATATCCCAACCCCGACACTTACTCGGTTATATCATATAATACGATATCACTATCTAACTCATGTCCTCCTAACCACCAAGGCAATATACGCAAAAAGCCGATACACAGCAATAATCCCCACCAGAATGCCCACCCACTTCCCCGTCCTGCCCGTGGCATAGCCATACTCCTGAAGTACGCCCGTCCCCCGGATCTTGCACTCATTGGCCAGGTCCGTCTGGTACATACATTGGCAGGAGTCACCGCAGGAGTAGATTCTATGTTGGAATTCGTTGACCATCATGCCTTGGAAGACGTATGCCTATTACCATTATTAATATTGAATTAGTGTGTGTGTTGGGGTGTAGGTGGGGATTTGGGGGAGGGGTACCTGATAATCAATGTAGTGGAAAACATATTTCCAGAACGGGTTGAGGATCTTGGGGGTGACGAGGAACCCGCCGACACTCATCCAGAGGCCGTTGGCGAAGGCGACTAGAGCGAGGGAGATGACGAAGTTGGGGAAGATGGAGGTCATGAAGACGACGAGGGATTCGGCTGCGACGAGGTCCAGGAAGAGCCACATTACCCAGGTAAAGAAGGAGGTGGCGGTGGGGTTGAAGTTGGAAAGCCAGTAGGAGATAATGGAAAAGAGGAGGGAGATTATGACTGTACTATTTGTCAGTGGGGTGGAGTAAAATAGTGGGTGGGAAGGGGTGATTTACAGAGGAAGGGCAGGCCGATGATGAAATTGGAGACGATGAAGGGGAGGGCGCCATAGAGGCCGTTGGCGCGTTCTTTGATGAAGGTCATGCGGTCTTCGATGAAGGCCGGGACGTAGGCTACGGCCATGAAACTCATGAAGGCGGAGCCGAAGAACTGGTGAGGATGGAGATATTAGTTGTGTTGTTCTAGTTGGAGGGTCTGAGTTGGTGGGAGCAGGCTTACGATTGCGTTGATAAAGGGCTGGATGTAGCTCTGTTCGGTGTGCAGACGCAGCCAGACGGTTCCCATCATGATTGCCAGCCCTAATGGATCGGTCAGTTTTGTTTCTGCCTCGTTGGAGATTTTTGATATACGCACCCAGGTACATGACGATACGGATGCCATATGCCACGACATCACGGTAACTCTTGATGAAGGAGCGGTGCAAGAGAGTAAGAGTGATGCTGAGAATGCCTGGGCGACTTAGCTCGTCCATGTCGAGTTTCGCCGACTGCTTCTCGGATAAGACGGTCCGCTGCGAGACCTGCTCTGCTAGCGCTGCGGCGTTGGAGGACTCAGTCCAGCTTGTATGAATCCGCTGGACCTGATCCTTGGACATGGCGTGTGTGCTGCCTGCAAAGTCGGAGCTGACAAGATCGAGGATGAACTCGGCCGGGTTGGTGTTCATTGGAAGCGTATAGCCAATGCTGTCGAAATAGGTCGGCACTTCTGTGACAGGACCGAAGTAGCACGTTTTCCCACTCGAGAGGAGAAGCAGCTTATCGAAAAGCTGGAATGTAGTTGTGGATGGCTGGTGGATACTGGCGATAATGATGAGCTGCGAGATGTTAGTAATTGCAGATCTGCAGATGGGATACACATACGTTATTCGCAACCGCCATCTCCTTGACGTAGGAGATGACCTCGAAACTAGCCGATGAGTCCAGTCCGCTGGTCGGTTCATCCAAGAACAGGATCTTAGGGCACGTCATGAGTTGACTCGCCACGCTAACACGCCGTTTCTGACCACCACTGATTCCCTTGCGAATGGGCGTGCCAACCAAAGTGGATGCCTGATTCTGAATTCCAAATGCCTGTAGAAGGGAGTGAATGCGCTCTTTCCGTTGAAATTTCGTAACCGAGCTAATTCATTAGTATCACCGCCAATTAACACACTCTTGGATAATACACACCTGGGCAACGAGAGATCTGCGGCGAATTTCAATGTCTCGCGCACCGTCAGCGACCCGATCAGTGCATCCTCCTGTTCCACGTAAGAAGTGAGCCGACCAAACGTCGCATTATCGACCGTCTTGCCATCTACATAGCAATCTCCAGTGGTCTTTGCTCCCGACGATGCTGCGCGACGAGCCAAAACGTTGAGTAGAGTAGTCTTGCCGCATCCCGAGGGACCCATCAGAGCGACTAGTTCGCCTGTTTCAATGGTAGAGTTAAAAAAGGATGTTCGTCCGGGATGGGTACATAGAGTTCCGGGAAGTAACCACCAACCTTGCTGGACTGACCCGCTGATCCCATCGATCAGATTCCGGGGCTGTTTGGTATGGCGGTCCTTGACGGTGACGGTGAGATCGCGCCAAGAAAAGTCGTTGACGGTATTGTTCTTGAAGTAGCTGGGGGCTTCGTTGCGCTCGAGGTCAGAACCATCGAGCTTAGATGAGAGGTCATCCATTCTCTGTGGTCTGAAAAGAAATAACAAGGTCTATAGTATTGTAGCTGGAGGTGGGAGAAATCTTGAAGTATGGGAAAGTTTCAAAGAAGGGAAAGAATAGTAGAAGGCTTCACAATGTCACACTTCCAATCATGCCTAGCTATTCTGAGATAGTAGTCAGAATAGCGCCTAGTAGTAGCAAATTGTAGAGCAGAATTAAAAATCAGAAAAGATAAGAAAGAGGAGGGAAAGGCGAAGTAAATAAACGACTCACAGACCACTGCAACCGAACCCCGGTCCGGTCACAAGGGGAGGGACAGCGAGACGCAGCTAGTCTCCAGCACATTGCAGCAGCATCCATCATAGTGAGAAAGAACAGAGAATGCCATGTGGAAGGGAAAGTGGGTGACATCTCCGAGATTCTCGTGTTGCTTTCGCTGCCACACTTTGGGACCCGAGATGAGAGGCTTCTTGGTTCAGGTCCCCGAAGCCCGCACCACAGGTCGCCACTTCTCACCTCCAAGCCCGAGGACGGCGTCTTCGCTCGTTCGCAACGATCATAAGCTGGCTGAGCCACGATTATGTGAACCATCTCGATAAGTAAGTTAGATAGTCTAGTTAGTCTAAGTTAAACCATTAGTTTGTTGTTTGGGCGGGTGGATCGCCGTCGGGGCTCCACCCTGGAGAATGGAGAAAAAGAAGGGAAAGCTGAGAACGCCGTTCATCTGCTGAACCGAACGAACGCCTTGTGGGTAGGAAAGAGAAAGAAAAAGAAAAGAAAAATGACCCAAATAAGCAAGCATAGGGGAACTATTAGCGATGAACTGGAGATGGAGATAAATCATGGGAGGTGATTGGTGGCATTCTTCTCCAGACCCTGGACAGGATTCTTATCAGCTTCTGCTATTAAATGAACTACTAAGGTAAGCAACCTAACTAGTCGCACTTACTTAGTCTGGCCAGCTGAACCATCCTCATCCTCCTCATCATCATCCATCAGGCTGAAAGATGCCCCTCCTCCTCCTCATTCCCTCCAATTGGATTATCTTTACTATCTACAGTAACTACCACTAGTAAGTAGTAACATGATAGTATTGATTAACTGAGTAGTAACAAGGCTTTCAGCCCCGCCATGTCATCAAAGACCTGCTGCCATATTTCCCCTCCTTCCCATGCATGTGAGGAGAATATATTATTACTACTACTATTATCGCCCATTAATCATCTAATCGAGAGTAGTAGTAACCTCCCTCCAGTGGTCCAGTCCGATCCAATCTAAATCCATACATAACATCACTAACAAACAATATAATATACCTGGCTGGCATCACATCTTGGTGTAACGGTCGCCTGCCGATCTCCTACTCACTCCGTCTTAGTCTAACCTGCACAATGCAATTCATCCTCACTTCATCACCACTCCTCGTTTCTTCCCCCATCACGCAGGTGGAGGCTTTTGTTTTGACTTTTGAGTTTGGCGGCGGAAGATTAAATCTGCGATCGGAGGTGGAGGTGGCTTCTTACTGTAATAGGATTGTCTGCCTACTTATTGAACGGAATAATAATGTGCATCTCGCGTTAGATTTTCAAGGATGTGCCAGATACGTGTGGGTAAAATAGTTTGTGCTACAGTGAGTGTAAGACAGGTGTGTGTGATCACAGCGAGCAGATCTGCTTGCGTGGCACCTCATGAGAGCCGCGCCTGGTCGGTCCGGATGGAAACACGCCCTCACTTGGAATGGCGCTATACTGAAATTACGATGGATTGCTTTGTCTTCTAGATTCGCTTTCAGGGACTGCTTTTGTTGATCGTTGTAGATTAGACTCGAGTCATCTATTCTTCCAATGATACTCTAAACATTAAAAGCTAATACAAACACTTCCGGCATTCGGCCAGAGTCCAGAACGGAAAATCCCTCACGCAGCCTTACTACTAGTTAAGGCCCAACACCTCGACATAGCTATCAAGAGACCGCTTAGTCGCTGCAAGAAGCGCCCGAGGGGACGTTCTTGCACTTGCTGCTCTTCTTGCCGCCAGTCACATCAACACCGCTCCAGGTCCAGTTCGAGCAGCTGCCGGAACCGCACAGGATGTAGATGTCAGTACCAGAGCTCTTGACGCTGCCGGTGACCTTCTTGAAAGTGATGTCCTCAACCTTGACACCGTTGGTGGGCGTGCCGGTGGGGCTGCCGTTCTCGTAGTCCTGCTCAACGACGATACCGTACTTGCTGATGTCGGACAGGGTGATGTCCTCGAACTTGACGTTCTCAACAGTGCCGGTCTTGCCGTAGATGGTCTTGATACGGACACCGTTCTGGGAGTTGAGCACCTTGGAGTTGGAGATGGTCACGTCGTTGACGGTGTTGTCGCTGCGGCCACCAATGGAACCAATGGAGAGACCGTGGCCACCGTCACAGTAACCGTTGGTGAAAGTGATGTGCTGTGTTCTAGTTAGTCTCTGATGTTTTGCAGCTCCTGGACAGTGACGGCTCTTTTTGCAACAGCACATATACATACCTCACCCGAGTTGATGGCCAGGCAATCATCCTGGTTGTAGACGGTGGCACCGTCGATGGTGATGTAGGTACTCTGACCAATGTCAAAGGCATCGGTGTTGTGGCCCTTGCTCGTACCGGCGGAGTTGTCGATGGTCACGTCGGTGATGGTCAGGTGGTCAGCCAGAATGCTGAAGCCCTGGACAGGGGTGTTGTAGATCTTCAGGCCGGTGATGCTGGACTCGTCGAGCTTGTGAGCCTGGAAGAACTTGGGCTTGGTCTTGCCACCGTTGCTACCCTTGCCGTCCCACCAGCGAGCACCGTCGCAGTTGATCTTGGCACCGGAGGCCTGCTTGACGGTGATGTCGGTACCGGACATGGAGATCAGGGGACCCTTCCATTCCTTGTAGCCAAAGGTGGTTTCACCCTCGAAGATGACCTGTGAGGGGAGAAAATTAGTCGGTCCAAGAAGGGTTGAGAAGAGATTCCAGGGAGCGAGGCAAGACGTACGGTAGTACCCTTCTTGAGGCCAGTCAAGTCAAGAGTCTCACCGGCGGGGACCTCGATGTTGTCGAGGGTGATGGTGGTGCAAGAGGACTTGCCAGACTTGGCAGCAGAGGCGGAGGTGAAAGTGCAGGAGCGCTTCTCAAGAGGAGCAGCGGCGGCCAGCGCAGCGCCCATAGTGGCGGCCACGAAAGCGTTCTGGAGGAAGTGCATGGTGAAAACGAAGGAATGGAACCTGGATCAACCGGGTACAATTAAGGAAGGACTAGAGAGAAGCTGGGAAAGGAAAGAGAAGAAAGAGAGACTGAGAGCGTGATGAGGGAAGAAAAGACCAGCCATGGAGAGGGATGCAAAGATATCTATAAGTAGTTTTTTCGCTCGACTCCTCGTGCCCTCCACTCATCCCCTTTTCTTGGATATAACGGCGATACATCGGAAGTATGAGAATTGGTTCAGGACCCTGGAAGCCACATCGAACGATCGAAGGAACCCGTTGGAGACGGCGGTTTGAGGATGAAATGAAGTGGGTATCTAGACTTGCACGGAACAGGAAGGAAGGCTAGCCAAGCTCGCTAAGCTCGAAGAAAGACAGGGTCCGATGGGTCCCAAAAAGGCAGTAGCGCCCAGTAGTTGGACCAGCGCGCCTTCCCCACTAGGAAACCTTTAGGCATCCGGGTTTTTGCTGCTTTCGGCGTCATCCCGAGACACTCCTTTATTATACTTTCTATTGTTTTCTTATCGATCGCAATAACTATCACCGAGGGTAGGAATTTTCGGCAGTTGGATTCTTGGCCGACGGTTTCTTTCTCTACTGATGAGAAAAAGAGAGCAATTAAGTTATCAACACTTGACATAGCATGGTTCTCGGGAACACCCTCAGGATCGGCAGCATTGGCATCTCGTCGATCCCTAGCCCTACTGCCCTAAGAACTCTCGGCCTCCGCGGCAACCGAGGCGGATACATAAAACCTTCAACCAAGCCCACTGAAACGAGAATGAACCCAACTCCGTAGTTCTCACCCTGAAACAAGCGGATCATGTTGCTAATCCATATCAACCAGGGGTTCGTTCGCTGACAGGTTCTGCACAGGATGCAAACGCCAAGCTTCCATTTCATCCTCGTTCCACCACGCGCTAGGCAATTAGTTTGGCACTGGATCCCCTCCAATATCGACCACTGGACTCGAGGTTATTGATTAATCTCAGGCCATAATTACTGGCTTCTCGGATATTCCGGTGAATAATCTCGGAGATTTTCCCACAACAATAAATAATTATTCCCCTGGTACTAATATAGTGCGTCTAAGATGCTTCAATTGAGGGCATCGGGATACAACCAGTGGGAACTGTCGCGATAACTATTGTTTGCCGTTACCCGACAACATATGACTACCATGTTTTTACCGGCATTGCCGGAGGAGCAACAGTCTGTCAGTCGAGAGTTTGGGCCCACAGGTTTCCTCTAATATCCAGACTGCTTTCCCTGAATTAGGGAGTCATCTTTCCTGAAGCTGTCATTTTCAGCCACCGACTAGTTAATTCTTGACAACAAGATGCTCTACATGGCTAGTGTATTTGACTGAATATGTCGGGGCTCAGCAAACTCCAAGGTAGGACCTCGAGACGAGGGATGGAATGCAAGATAGCTGGTCTGCAACGGTCAATTCAATTTCCGGATATACAGGGACCATAAGGCAATCTCCTTCTAGCATTCTTAACTTAATTGCAGAGACCTTAACTGGCTAGTCTCTCAAGCCTTCCGCTTACAAATGCAAGCCACAATGGATCCCTTGTCGCACCATAAAATAACCGGTCAATCGTCCGTGCTTGGTGGTTATGGCTCTACTATCACACATCCCGTATAGTATACGAGTAGACTCGACCATTGTAATTGACAAAAATGAGCCCGGGCAACCTTGTCAACAACAAAATAGTTATAGACGTCAGAAAATTTGATATTGCAGGCCAGAGAACAATTTGCCTATGAAAGCAAAGCACCCAATACTACCGACTGATGCCGACTAAGCCTCTAATGACATCTGGAATTGCTCCACTAAAAATTCCGCCTCAAGCACTATTGTGCAGCAGCCAAATCACACTACACTCCTTTGCGTATCTTCAATATATACTTCCGGAACCCCATTCCCCACTACCTGACACTAGGTACCTGCCGGCCAAGTTAGCATATTCTCCTTCATCTGGACTAATCAAGGAAAACTGCCCCTGAAGCACACCACTGTATACCCGGATATATATTGAAGCACGCTAGACAGTTACTTGCTATGGATACTCGGGATAAGTACTCTCACCAAGGTATTAAGCGCTAGGAAGCGAAAAGCCCTCTAAGGATATTTGAATGTTCCGTTTACCCGAGAAGCCAACTAATAACCCTCAACGCGAGTCAGACAGTGTCTAATAAGTCAAATATTAATGAATCAGGAACCTGGAAAACTACATGGGGCCAATTTCATTCTGGGTAGCTTGGTCTCCTGGTGGAGTAGGTACTATGCTGTCAATTCCTGTTCCGGACTGCGAGCTGGAATCTGTTCTTACGTGGGAAAAAAAAAAACGTATTTTGTAAATTTCATGATTGAGTTATAGAAGGGCTAAGGGCGTTATCATTATGAGAAGAGCAATATAGGGAATGTATTATAACAATCAATTTATCTGGACACTCTACAGATTCACCGTTACCAGAAATCATAGATAAATTTTTGTGCTAGAAGTCATGTCTGACCTACTTATTTAACTACTAACTACAATAGCTATGCTCGCATAGGACAATAACAGGATAAATGCATGCATATAATACCAAGCACCTGCATATGAGTCTCTTAATCCAGTATATATGTCCACTCTTCCCCTGAATTTCAGTAATTAGATTCATAATATTCCCCAAGAACATATGCCCATTCGACAAGTAGTGATGTCTTTTTCTTGGTATCTGGGTTTACTCCTTTTTCTTCAGAGCTAACTGATGACAGTGAAGCTAAATTTTGCTGTGCACTTAAATGGTGTTTTCACCTAGTATGCTTGGTGGTAGAAAGTAAGTGGGCTTCCGTAGCATCATACTTAAGTATCCATTGAAGCATTGTAGTCTTCCTACTCGTTACATGAGGTTTCTTTACCTCTTATTAGTATCCTTGTAGAGTACTTGATAGTAGTACTTTATCTATGTCGATTATTTACTTGGTAGTTACTACATACTTACAAGTAATGTTCCGTTGGTGTTCACTTTAGGCACATTCACCTCAACCAACATAGTATATATATATACAGCCAGCTATCATGCTCCCAAGTGACCTTTCAAACATGATAAATCAGAACTTCAGGCCGAACCACCGCATGAGATAATACTACCTAATTCCGTTAAAAATACTCTACCATTTCAGATCCACTTGATCATATAACAAAAATCTATACTCATACTTATCCAGAACAAAAAACACTATGACTAGCCTCTCCCCAATGCATACCAACCACGTGATCCAGTCAAGTCCTGAAAGAATAGTTTTACTGTTTTACACGATAACCAATTACTAACCGAAACTCTACTGTAAGAAACCCAAAATAAACTTTCGCAGGAATCCCGAAGATCTGGTAAGACTACGACCTGCAAAATGCAAAAAGCAAAGCCGATCACGTTGACTTAGTCCCCGAGGCCGAGAGGCCCCACTGCTGGTTGTGGTTGTTGTTTCCCGAGGACGGCGTTCTACTTAGAAGTTACATACCCGCTCGGGTGGCTGCCTTGCGGGGATTATGGTTTTGAGTTTCGGTGATTGCTTCAAGGGGATCTAAACACTAGGACGCCGATGTGATCTGATATTCGGACGAGACTGTCGATCAGATCGGGGTTCATGGGGCGGAGTATTATCCCGGCTTAAAGATAACTAATACTTTTTGTTCCTGATACTACGGTGTGATTGATAATCTTTCGGGTGTGATGTGAACGCTGAAAAAGATGCTTGGTATTTGGTCACACTAAATGTATATCTTTTATGGTCGCTTCCATTACATACTAGTGGCTCATTAGTACTGCGTATAACAAAGCGAGAATGAAGCTTGACGTACCGGTTGACAGGGCTAAGACCCAGGATGCGCATACCGTTGTGCAGCACCTGGCGGGCGGACTCGTACAGAGCCATACGGGCCTTCTTGAGCTCGGGCTCGCTACCAACAACCTTGAGCACATCGTAGCTGGAGCTGAGCACGTGGGTCATGCGGAACAGGTAGGTGAGGATGGTAGTGGGCTCCAGAGTGCGGTTCGTGTTGAGCAGCACATCGGGCCACTGGGCGAGGAGACGAGCAAGGTCGGTGGCGTGGGTCTCGGTCAGGAGGCTCAGGTTGGCCGTGTCGAGCTCGTCGACGTTCAGGCCGGACTTGCGCACAATGGAGCAGAGACGGGCGTGGGCGTATTGCAGGTAAGGACCGGTGTCACCCTCGAACGAGGTCATGGCATCCAGGTTGAAGTCGTATCCGTTGATACTGCAAATTCATTAGCAACTGGAGACTACCATGGGGGGATGGGATATACGTACCGCTTTCCGGTCATGTCCTGCACCATGACGGAGGACATACCGAGGATGTCGGCAGTGCCCTCAGGGTCGGCGACCTGCTCGTACTTCTCGGTGTTCTTCTTCATGACTTCGTGCATCTTGTCACGGACATCCTGGAGGATGTCGTCCAAGAACTTGACGGTACCCTTACGGGTGCTCATACCGCGCACCATACCGAAGTTGATGTGCTGGCAGCGGTTGGCCAGATCCTTGTAGCCCATGAGCTCAGTGATCTTGAACAGCTGGGCCAAGTGGAGATCCTGCTGAGCGGCAACGACGTAGATCATCTTGTCGAACTTGTAGGCCTCCTCACGCTCGAGGATGGCTCCGATATCACGGGTCAGGTAGAGAGGAGTGCCGTCCTTGCGGACAATGATGGCCTTACCAAGCTTCTTGGCACCGTGCTTGGTGAAGTCGACGATGACAGCACCCTCGGACTTCTCGGACACACCGGCCTTCTCCATGGTCTGGTAAGCGGAGGTCATGCTCTCCTGCTTGATCTGAGACTCTCCAGAGTAGACGTCAAAGTCAATGTTCAGACGAGCATAGGTCTGTCTGTACTTCTCGATACTGAGCTCACGGAACCGGCGCCAGAGAGCAAGAGCCTCCTGGTTACCATCCTCCATGCTCTTGAAGTAGCGGCGAGCGTTCTCGTCCTCGCTGGCATCGACAAGCTTGGCAAGCTCCTTCTCCTGCTCGGCGGCGTCCTCACCCTTCTCCTTCTTGGCCTTGATCTGCTCCTTGAGCTCCTTGATGGGGCCCTCCTGCTCGGAGACGATGCCGTTGATCTTGACGTAGACGTTGAACAGGTGGTTGATAGGGTCCTTGGTCAGCTCCTCCTCGCTACCGAACATCTTGAAACCATTGGCAAGCAGACCGTACTGCTTACCCCAGTCACCAAGGTAGTTCATCTTAATGACGTCCCATCCCATGACGGTGTAAAGGTTGGCGAGGAAACCACCAATGATGGTACTGCGCAAGTGACCAGCATGGAAGGGCTTGGCGATGTTGGGAGAAGAGAACTCGACGATGATGCGCTTGCGACCCTTGGAGGGGTCGGCGGGGTCGCGCAGACCAACGTTGCCATTGGTACCAAAGGCAGACTTCTCCTTCAAGATACGGCTAACGACGTTCTTGGTGAGGCGCTCCGGGCGGAAGAAGAACTGCATGTGAGGGCCGAAGGCAACGGGGGGAAGGATGAGGTCGGACTCGGGGAACTTCTCGACAAGTTCCTTGCACAGCTCCTGGGGGTTCTTCTTGATCTGAAGGGAGGGGACCTAGAGATAAAATATTACGTTAGTTGGTGTCAAGTGGCCCAATGGAACTCATCCAATTGTGATTTTTATGGTCGCGTACCGGCAACACCAGGTCACCCTTGTCCAACGAGTTCGTCCATGCGATGCGGGAGAAGATCTTCTCCGCGTCCAAGCCGGTGATCTTGGCCAGCTCCTCGGCAATGTGCTCTCTGTAAACGTCGACGGGGTTCAGGGAGGGGAAGCAGTTGGGGAACTTGGAGGTCTCGGAGGTCGACTGAATCGAGAGTCCCTCAACGGAGACAGCGAGGTCGGAGGCGGACGTCATGGCGGCAGCTTTGTTCTTCAAAAGCGACGCAGAGGAAAAAGAAGAGCGCCAGGGGTTTAAAAGAGGCGAAGAAAAAGCACCGCGGGCGCAGGAACAGCGACTATTTTGTGTGTAGTATGAGCGGACAGACTGGAAAATGCCGCTGGAAAATCGGCGTGCCCCGCTTACCAGATGGCGACCCATAAATGGAGGGGAATCGAGAGCCTCGCTTTGGAGGGGGACTTTTTTCTTTGCTCTTTAGCCTCCATTCGGCAATCGCCCATACTGCCCGGGCGGTGAGTACTCCCTCATGACTCATCGAATGTAGTCACGTGATAACCAGATCATCTGACTGCTGCTAGCCCTGATCTCTCCCGTTCCCTCTCAAATCCTCATTTATGTCATGTGAGCGGATATGAGACCACCCCCTTCTCTGACGTCACGGTTCTTTGCAGCGCCAGCAACGCAACCTCGTGTCCCAAACCTGGCCATTCTCCTCTTAATTCCATAACAAGCCTCCATACAGCCATGTCCTACCATCAACAATCTATTCCGTTCTCTATCATCCATATACTCCGCGGCCATGGGTAGTAGTCGTCGTCAAAAGGCCCTATCCAAGTCTATCCAACTCGCCCTATTCCGCGACCCAGCTACCTTTCGGAAGACCCTCATAGGGCGCATCCTAGCCTTCTTTAGCATCTTCTACATCAAGCTCTTCCGATATGGGAGCAATCTGTTTCGAAAGCTGCGCAGCGAGACATGGGAGATCGACGAGAATGAGTACAAGGCGAGCTTCCGAGATGAGAAGAAGACTGTCCCATTGAAGCCAATGGGCGATCTTGGAATGTCAGGATCGGTATGAACACAACCAGAAGATCATGGAAAGTGCGGGTGTACTAATGGAATGCTTTGATAGACCTTCTTCCAGACTTCCAATGGCAAGTTTCTCGTCAAGAGCCTCCCCCGACACTTTGAACATTCCTTCTTCCGTGAGGATCTGCTCGAGCCATACTACGAATATATGAGTGCCCATCGCGATTCTTTATTGGTATGGATTACCGACTATGTGTATGCGCCGTATCAGACGGTCGGGAGCCTTATAGGGTCCACGCCAGCCCATCACATCATCATGGATAATATCTTGTACGGGAAAACCGAAGACCCGAAAGCAGATCAATGGGAGAAATACGACCTTAAACCCATTGACTATTTCTATCCAGAGCGGGACTTGGTGCCAGAGCCGCTGGTTAGCGAAGATACGCTGCGGAAGCTTGCTGACCAATTTGACGACAAAATCCGGCTGTCGCAAGAACAATACGAGTCCCTGAAGCAAGTCTTGGAAGCTGACACGGACTTTCTCCGCTCGTCTAATGCAGTTGATTACTCTCTTTTCCTCGTACGGTTTCCGGCCTCCTCGCAGCCCGAGGTTGTTGGTAGGCATGCTCCGTGGCGCATCGGCGTAGAGTCTGCAGATGGCAAATGGAAGTATCGTGCCGTGTTGTTGGATTTCTTCTGGGCAAGACACAAATTGCACGCCCAAGCCATGACGGGGGTAATTCAGACATTCAATGTCATTGGTCGCCAGGGGCCAATGACAATTACAACGACGGCCGACGAATACCAACAGAAGTTTCTGGCTATGGTGGATTCGATGGTGGAAGTACAGCAGTCTTGATAGACGTAATCATACAATACCTAAAAAGATGTTGTTTGACGCACGCGCGCTCTGCAATTAATATCATGTATGTTGTATCCGAAATGGAAACTCTTGGTCTTCTCGCATTGACTCATGACACCGTTTATCAAGCACCCAGATGACCAACGGTCGGCCCGTAGCGGGCTTTTCTATCGACAATCTATCAATTACCGGAATCTGTGAGGCAGAGACAATCTATGTTATCTGCCAATTCGCTCAAAGAAGTCATCTCTCCTTGCTGCCTTAGAAGCAGAAGATCTGGTCCTCGAGCTTGCTGACGGGACGAGCCTTGGTGTATCCGAGAGACTCGGTAGCCTTCTTCATGGCGCTAACCATGGGAGGAGGACCGCAGAGCAGGATCTTGATGTCGCTAGCGGGGGCAGGAAGGCGCTCCTAAAGGGTTTAGTTAGTGGGCCGTGCTGGAAGACACTGACTGGAGATTCAACAAACCTTGATCATGTCAGGGGTGACGAAACCAACACCACCGGTCCAGCCCTCAGGGGGGTTGTTGAGGACGTAGTAGATGCGGAAGCCGTCGTCCTCCTTGGCCAGCTGCTCGAGCTCTTCCTTCATGAGGATATCGTCGGGGTTCACGTTGGCGAAGATCAAGTCAACCTGGGTGGTGTCGTTTCCACCGTTACGGGGACGGTTGCGGATAATAGCCTTGATGATCTGGTACATGGGAGTGATACCAGTACCACCAGCGATCATACCAATGTGACGGCACATGTTGGGAGTGTACACCATGGCGCCCTTAGGGCCACGGACCTTCATGGTCTGACCAACCTCCAGGGTGGTCAAGTACTTGGAGATGTTACCCTGGGGGTAGGCCTTGACGAGGAGATCGAAGTAACCAGCCTCGTTGTCGGAGGAGATGGGGGTGTAGGAGCGGACAACCTCCTTACCGCCAATGGTGGCGGCAAGCGAGATGTGCTGACCGATGGGCAGACCCAGGATATCGGTGGGACGGGGCAAGGCGAAACGGTAGACGGTGACATTGTGGGAGATGTCGTTCTTCTCCTTCAGGGTGAAGTGCTGGAAGTCACCGGGGTTGAGGACCTTTCTGGGCTCTAAAGAAATTGTTGAGACATGTCAGAAGACCGCAAGCAAAGTCATACGATCAGCGACTCCTGTACGTACTGTTGCTGAAGACCTTCCAGCCGACCAGGACCGCAGCAAGAGCGACGGCAAAGGGGGTCAATTCCTGCTTGAAGAGAAAAGTTCCGGCGACAAAGAGGGCCGAGGGGATGAAGGCCCCGGTGATGTTGTCGGGGGAGAAAGCACTGTTTTGCGACAACTTTTGTTAGTCACCCGTCAATCGCGGAGCGAGTAGCACGCGCACATACCTCATATTGGCAATTACTCCAGCAACCCCTAGGGAACTTGAGAAGAAATAGAAAACAGAAAAAGAAGAAAGGGGGAGGAATGAGAGGGGAAGAGGGAAGAGGAGGAGGGAGAGGAAAGTAATGAGAGGGAGAGGATGTGAGGAGATGAGGAGACAGTCGGGTTTTGTGACGGTAATTTTCGGTGTCGGTCACGGGAAGACAGTCCCGATCGGGCCACTGGATCGGCTTATCGATAAGTTTGTTGAGGCAAAATCAATTGATTATCGATGGAGATAATGATTAAAGTACAAAGGAAAGGAATATGAACTGCCGTCATGAATTGATCATAACAAAGATTACCATAGAATAATCAACAGATATCATGGAAATATTAATTACACCTCCGACGTGCGGAGAAGTCTCACACAGTCAGCATGTGAACAAGCCAACTCATATAGTGCGCGGAATCAGTCCCGTTGGGGATTTGCTTTCCTGGGGTAACCATTCCCGTCTTCGTTCACAATTCCCTCGCTGTTCTTCTTTTTCCTATCTCGACAAATAATTCCGTCCTTCTTAGCTAGCTCAACTTATCCTTCAGTGGAGCCCATCGACTGTCCGCTAGTCTAGTCAATCCTTCTTCCACACAGTCTCATAGACACATCTAAACCGGCCGACAAATAACCATGGCTTCCGAGGAACCTCCGGCCTTTAACCTGACCGAGGTTGATCGTCAAGTCCTCGCGCAGACCGACGAGGAGTTTGTGCTTCATGACTGGGAGGATCTCAAGTCCATCATCGGTAGGTGATTTACACAGTTCAAAAAACCCCTTGGATGGTTATACATACAGTAGAGTGAGAGGCAAAGAGAGAAAGAAAGAGAGAACTACTTACTCCTACTATCCTACCCCTCACATGCTCACCTTCCCTCCCCCGCGCCCTCCTACCATCCATCCATCCATTCCTCGAATCCATCTCGATCATTCCATCCATCCATCAACCAATACCCAATGGTTCCGCATTCCAGTCCCTGACTCTAAACTCTCTCTCTCTCTCTCTCTCTTCCCCTTTACCCCGCAACCCAACCCAACCCAACCCTCCCTACCTACCTACCTACTCCTACTCCTACTCCTAACTAACCCGATCCCCCAACAGCACGCAACGATCTCGGCATCCTAAAACGGAAACCCTCCGATCTAACCCGCTACCTATCCTGGTCACATAAAACCAAGCAACAATACGGCTCTATCACAAACTACATCTGTCAGAAGCGTCTAGGCTGGACTGATACTATCCCCTCTTCCCCATCTCCATCATCCACTACTACCACCCCATCCACATCCACCCCAACTTCCTCCATCACCACAAGCACAGAAACCACCACCACCACCAGTACCTTCCCCTACAAAAACCCCATCCCGTTCGCAGATCCATCCGATTACAAGATCCTGCGCAACGACTGGCCCTACGGTCTCGCGCCGGGGATCTCGCATATTGTAGTGTGGTTGCGGACCCCCGTGGCAGTCAAGGAAGAGAACGGGGACGTGACGGATGAGTCGCGGGCGTTGATCGAGGCGTTTGTGCAAAGGACGTTTGTGGATGCGGTGGTGAGGGATGAAGGGGTGAATGTGGCGGAGGCGAGGGATCGGGTGCTGTGGTTTAAGAATTGGGCGGCGTTGCAGAGTGTCAGGAGTTTGGAACATGTTCATGTTCTTGTTAGGGATGTGTCGGAGAAGTTGTTGATTGAGTGGACTGGGGAGGAGGGGGTCAAGCGGTAGTTCTTATGCAGTTGATGTGGAGTTTCAACGGTACGAAGGATGGGGACTGTTAAGACGCAGTTAGATGAGTGGAGGAGCGAAGACATCATTTACGAGAATAGATCAAGACAGACACAATTGGATAAAACGCCAATAGAACTTGGAAAGAAGAACATAAGATTGGGAATCTCGAATCAATCGAAAAAGAAATCGACCGGACCTGTAGCGTACATCAAAGAGGCGGCAGTATAAACTAAGAAAGCCACACAAGTGTCACCATTCATCGTGCGCTTGTCTCAAATAACATCAGAAGGGAAACTAGATAAGAACAGATAAGAAGCCCATCAAATCATATACGCCTGCAGCCCAACATCCCAGGTCATCATTAAAGCAGCAGCACATCAGTTCGAACTACCACGGCGCTATTTTCACGACTTCTGCTCCTCCACGAACTTCAAGGCTTCTTCTCTCGACACAACGTCAATCGTACTAGCCTTCTGCCGGAAGCTGACGCCGTAGCACTTCTCGGCCACGTGCAACATCTCGGGTCGGAAAGTGGTGCAGATGAATTGGCCGTTGGTCGAGTCGGAGATGGACTTGAGCATCTGGGCAACGGCAGTTCGGTACTGGGCGTCGAGGTTGGCGTCGATCTCGTCGAACAGGTAGAAGGGGGCGGGATCGCAGGCTTGGATGGCGAAGACTAGGGCGAGGGCGCAAAGACCTAGCGATGGGTTAGTACGGAGGATTGATCAATATAAGAACGGTGGTCACTCACTCTTTTGTCCACCACTGAGCTGCTGGATACGCTGCTGTTCATCATGCTTGCTGTTGAAACTGACGCTGATGCCTACTCCAACGTAGTTCTCGACGCTCTCGCGAGCCTCCTCGTCCTCGGAGTCGACTTCGTCGGGTTGCCGAAGGGCGCGGTCAGTCTTACGCTGGATGATCAGACGTCCACGGCCAGCGGGGACGAGCTTCTCGAAGACATTGGCAAACTCGCGGGAGACCTGCTTGAAGGTTCGTTCGATGGCCTCGTCCTTTCGCTGGTCGAGCACGTTGATGAGGTCGTCGATGGACTTCTCGGAAGCTTCTAGTTCTTCCCTTCGGCTTGTCAGCGCCTCTCGCTGCTTGGTGAAGTTGTTGTATTGCTCAAACGCCTTCTTGTTGACATGGGAGTACTTCTTGAGACTCTCGTTGACCTTGTGAAGCTTCTTGACCACGGCATTAGAATCGGTGTTCTTGTACTTGGTAAAAGCCTCGTCTGGGAGGACTCCCAGGTCACGGATATTGGAAGCGCACTCAGCGGCTTGCTTCGTCAAGGCAGCCTTCTTCTGCATGCTCTTCTCCATGCGCCGCTGGTGCTTCTCGATGGACTTGGCCAGTTCTTCCAGCTCTCGCCTAGTCTCCGCATTCCGTTGTTGCAGGTCGCCCACGCGAGCGTTGGCCTGATCGATGGACTCGTCAACCTGCTGGAGACGCTGGCCGAGTTTCTCCAGTGCCTTGTGAAGGCGCTTCATTTCGCGCTGTGTCTCCTTCAGGTTGCCTTGGCTGTCGTCGTCTGCTAAGTCCATGTCCTGGCCGACAAGCTGGTCAAGGCGCGGGTTCAAGTTCTCGCGCAATTCGACCTCGAGGATGGATTTTCTTCCCTCGAGCTCACTGCGCTGGCTGGAAAGCTCCTGGTACTGTCGCCGAAGATCTTGAGCTGTGTTGTTGAGCTCCTCTAAGCGCGCCTCTTCTTCATTGCTGAGCGCTTTCTGGAAAGGCGATGACAGTTCCGCCTCGAACGCGCCAACCTGGTCAGTCACCGCTGCCAGGTTGCCTTCGATGTTGCGAAGCGCCCGTCGCTTCGCATCAAGGTTGTCATTCTTCTTCTGCAGAAGGTCGCGCTTGGCCCGTAGCTCTTGCCGCATAGGTCCACTGCTGTTTTGCACCTGGTGTCTCTGTTGTTCCAGCTTCTGCAGCTCGCCGACCGATCTCGTGATGAGCTGGTCCAGCTGCTCGAGCTCCTTTCGAATCTCAGAACCACGGTTCTTCTTGGTCTCATACTCATCCCTCCATTTAGTGAGGTTCTTCACTGCATCAAGGCGGGATTGTCGTGAATCGTGGAAACCACCGGTAAGGGCACCTCTCTTATCCGAACGGTCTCCCTCAGGAGTGATTGCATTGACACCGTGACTGCGGGCATATTGAGAGGCGACTTGAAGGTTCGGGCAGATGATGGTCTTTCCAAACACGTGAACAAATGCCTTCTCATATTTGGAGTCGTACTGAAGCTTCTCGATCATAGGAATCGTGTCACTTGCCCTGGGCATGTTGATGGGTCGAGATCGTAGTCTGTTCAGGGGCATGAAAGTAACTCTGCCAGCCTTCTCCTGCTGGAGGATCTCGAGCACCTTTGTGGCGGTTTCATCCGTGTCGACGACATAGTGGAACAGACTCTGGCCCGCTGTGACCTCGACAGAGGTCCGGTACCTATCACTAACTTCGAAAAGCTCCGCTAGCGTGCCATACACTCCCTCGAGGTTGTACTGGCGCTTGATTCTCCGGACAGCAGCAATGCCACGGCTCGTATTGTGGTCCATCATCTGGGACAAATTGCGCTCGGCACGCTCCACTTCGTGGGAGGCATTCGACAAGATCGAATCCAGCTTAGCTTCTTCTCTCCACAATTCCCTAGCACATCGTCAGCTAATCACATTCATGACATAGTAAACGGTTAGAGCATCACGGAATACATACTTTCTCTGATCCATCAGCCGGTCTCTCTCATCCTTCGCAGATTGAACTTGCTGCTCGACAGAATGGATCGTGTCGCCTCTGCCATCAATCTGCTTGCGCAAGCGCTCGCTCTCCGGTTCCAGAAGTGCTATGTCGTTTTCGAGTTCCTTGATATCCTCCTGTGTCTGTGCCAATACACCTTGGACAGAAGTGATAGAAGCGTAGTTATCCTTGATCGCTGCTTGCAGCCACTTGTCGCGCTCACTCTTGTTACGGAAGCGAGAGTTACGACCTTGCTTGGCATATAGTCGCTGACGGGCGGTCTCTGCCTCGGTAAGCTGCGTCTTGACAGTGTCCTCCTGATCCTTGGCGGCGTTGAACTGGGGCATCAATTGCTGCAGCTCTTGCTCACGTTCCTGGATGGCACTCTGAACGGCCTTCAGGTCTTCGTCGCGGCGTAGTTTCGAGGCTTGAGCGGCGACTTGATTGTCCGATTGTGATTTTGCCTGCAGTTCCACCTGTGCAAGGGCCTTGGAGGCCTCACGACGCTCATCCTCCAGCTGTGCCTTGTCCACCTTCAGGAACTCAATCTGCTGCTTGCATTCGGCAATCTCAGCATCGATCTGGGCCATTTCCTTCTCTCCTTGGATGAAGCGGTCACGGTTGAGATCGGTGTCCTCGACGCCGGTTTGACGCTGTTCTTCAAGACTGTCCAAGAAACTGGAGATTTCTTGCTGTTCGCGAGAGTAGATTGTGTATTCCAAGCATCTGCGCTCCTTGTCCTTATCCTGGTAGTTTCGCAACTCGTCCTTTTCTTCTTCCAGCTCCGCAAGACGCTCGTTGATGAAGTCCAGTAACTCGTCGATTTTAGATCGCTTGTTGTTCGTTTCGTGCATAATCTTCAATGACTCCGCGCGGCGCGCTTCATATACCTGAGTTCCCGCAACTTCCTTCAAAAGGTTGAGACGTTCAGAGTCCTTCATGTTAGTCAGAGCCGTGACACGACCCTGGGGCACGATGTAGTAGGGGTTCGAACGGGAAAACCCGGCAGATTCGAGCAGGTTCATCACATCGGACTTCGTCGCATTCTTGCGGTCAAGCGTGTATTCGTCCTTCTTCAATCCGATGGTGCGGCGAAGGACCACTTCCGGTTTGCCAGTGGGAAACCGATCGTCAGAGTTGTCAAAGATGATTTCAACGTAAGCCGACATTACAGCGGACCCCGAACCTTCCTATCCTTTTGTAAGCCTCTCAGTATTGTTTCTTGCGACGGGATACGCACGTGAAGAAGGGCCTGGCGTTCCTCTCGGCCCAGGTGGGTGTAAGCATCGCTGAGGACGAATCGAATGGCCGCGAAGAAGTTACTCTTTCCGGAGCCATTGCGACCAACGATGACATTATGCTTCGGAGAGAATGGCTCGATGACCGTCTGGTCCTTGTAGCTGTAAGGCAATTGCTGTCAGCCGGAAGGCGCACTCAAGCATCATGGGTACACTCTTGCAACATACCTTTTAAAGCCTTGAATAATGATTTGTTTAACGTACATCTTGACGAAGCACGCGCGACACGAGGAATCGGGGCAATTACAACAACCCAGTCATCACGCGCCCGAGGCGAAAGATATCAGGAGCCTAGGCCCTGACTAGACGGAGCAGGGTGGCGAGGTGAATGGATGCGCACGGAGGTTGCTGGGGTCGATGCTTGACATGCGACGAAGCTGACTTTGGGGAGAGCCACGCGTTATCGAGGCGATCAGCTCCGGATCTTTTGCACGCGTTTACTTCCATTTGGGAAGCCCGCGGGGTTCTGCCGGGCGGTGAGCCATATGACTGTCCCACACCCAAAAGGTACCCGTTTTTTTCAGATCAATTGCAAGACTTCGCTTCTACACACATTTGATTTTCACCCCTTTACATTCAGTCATGGCTGCTCCGAACGCTGACGCGCAAGCGTCCGGCTTGGCTGATGGCCTAAACCCAGCGCACACCTATATCCCCAACCAGGGATATGTCAACCCCGACGGCTCCCTCCCCGCTATGGCGGGGCAAGACTCTGCGGCGCAACAAAACGAAGACGAAGAGGATGACTACTACGATGATATCTTCGAAGAAGAACTCGATGAAGAAGACTTCACCTCGTCCAACCCCGCCGATCTAACGAAATCCTACAATCGCCAGCGCAAAACGAACGAGCTCTCTGCGGACCCCAACACTCCCAAGTGGACCTTACCGAAGACGAACACCCAGAAACCGTCTGTCAACACTCGCGCCTCCGTCGACGATCAAGTGAAGTCATTGACGAAGCATGCTGGCAAGATCAAGTTGGACGATATGCAGTCAGGCATGGCGACCCGCGGTGATCGGGGTGGCGACAGGGCGGACCGCGCTACCTCCGAGCAGGTGCTGGATCCCCGCACACGTATGATCCTGCTACAGATGATCAACCGAGAGATTGTCTCCGAGATTCACGGATGTCTGTCGACCGGTAAAGAAGCCAACGTCTACTACTCCATCTCATACCCCGATAACGAGGAGACACCCCTCCACCGTGCCATCAAGGTCTACAAGACGAGCATCCTGGTTTTCAAGGACAGAGACAAGTATGTCACTGGTGAATTCCGTTTCAGACAAGGATACAGCAAGAGCAACAACCGGGCAATGGTCAAGCTGTGGGCGGAAAAGGAAATGCGTAACTTGCGCCGTATCTACGCTGCCGGCATCCCCTGCCCCGAGCCCATCCACCTGCGCCTCCACGTCCTGGTCATGGGCTTCGTCGGAAGCTCCAAGGGTGTCGCCGCTCCTAGACTCAAGGACGTTGAGTTCAATATCCCCGATCCCGATGCCAAGTGGCGCGAGATCTACATGGAGTTGCTCGGCTACATGCGCGTGATGTACCAAACCTGCCACCTGGTCCACGCCGATCTGAGTGAATACAACATGCTTTACCACAAGAACAAGCTCCACATTATCGATGTCAGTCAGAGTGTCGAACACGACCACCCCCGCAGTTTGGAGTTCCTGCGTATGGATATCAAGAACATCAGCGACTTCTTCCGCCGCAAGAACGTCGACGTCCTCACCGAACGGGCTGTCTTCGAATTCGTCATCTCCAGCGATGGCCCTACCACCGTCACACCCGCAGAGCCAATGCTCGAAGCCATCGAGCACCTCTTCGCCACCCGCAATGACAACGCCGAGGGCGACACTGAAGTCGACGCCGCCGTCTTCCGTCAACAATACATCCCTCAAACCCTGGAACAGGTGTACGACTTTGAGCGCGACGCCGAGCAAGTCCGTGCCGGTAAGGGCGACGACCTCGTTTACCGGGATCTTCTCGCAGGCGAGAAGAAGAAGAAGGCAGAGGGCCACGATGAGGATGAAGAGGAAGAAGGCTCCGAAGCTGGCTCTGACGGTGGCGTATCTGTTGATGAGGGATCCGACTCGGAAGACGGAGAAAAAGATCCTTTTGCGAAGAAGGCGCCCCGCGGTAAGCGATTCGAAGATAAGGACGAGAAGCGCGACCACAAGCAAAAGGTCAAGGAGGAGAAGCGCGAGAAGCGCGCCAATAAGATGCCGAAGCATATGAAGAAACGTCTTGTTTCTTCGTCTTCGAGAAAGAAGAAATGAGGGATGAAGTTGGATTGAACGCTATTTTTTGCTTTCTGATATGCATGCAGGCATTTATTGGAGATAATTGGGCTACTATGGGAAAAACACAAAAGTCGATTTCATTTATTTCTGTTTTCGTTTTGGAATGCACATGATCTCATGATGTTTTATGACCTTTCATTGGGTGGGTATTGGTTCGTTGGATGCATATATATCTTCCAGTTTATACTATGAGCATATAGATCTGCATATGGGGGTGTACGAAATGCAAACTTGATACGTCGGATTGATTCCAGCACCGGTGTAATTGCCTCATTTCGTTTCTGAATACAGTTGAGTAGTCTATTTCATCAAGGACTGGAGAGGCCTTATCATAGTCACATTAAGGCCGCTGGCTAGTTTCGTGGTGAGGGAGTATATAATGGTAATCAATAGTTTTTAAAGTTTCAAAGTCGTTACTAACAAATGTACATATTTGGTTATCAATGATTATTAACTAGAATAGATATTTGAAACGTGTATTATTCATATGTCTATTCAAGTGGGTTGGGGTACCACCAGTACTCATGGTAGTAATGCCCATCATTGATAAAATATATATCACGGAACTTTGATGAAATGGGTCTATAACAGCAAGGAAAAACACAAGTTACTATAATTTTAACATATATATTTCTATACAGTATATAATACTAGTCACGACAAGACAGCGATCACATAGAGTTGCCTAAAACTATCTTTTACCATACTGCAACTGTACCGCAACGGGTGGGTGATACTACACCGTGGTTATCATCAAACGGCCACTACAGAATAAAGGTTGCTCAACAACAGTTTTAGGTTCTAGGTAGAATGCCCGGTCTGCTTATTTTCTATAGACTGGAAGGAAAAGTAACATGGTTCAATGTAAGATTCTAATATTTGATCAGTTACATGGTTGATTGGACGACCTATCAGAGCTCTCTTTGATCTTCATTCCAGTCCATTGCCAACTGCCAAATGGAGATACACGGTAGCACTTACGTCCTGAGCGAGTCATTATGATGCGCCGGAGTATGTGTCTAACGTATAATTGATCCACTTTACTGGCAAGAGGCATGGCCGGTATCGGATAGGACAAAGCCTGTATGTGTGTTCATCATCTAGGTCATCTACTAGTATGTTTCATGACTGCCAAGAAATAACCAATGGCAATCATGGGATTGACGAGCTCTCAGATACCACAAAAGACTACATGGCTTGTCTATTCCTCGCCTTGAGGCGATGAAGAGCCTCTTCAACCAGGGATTTGGGGAGATGTGGAATAATTTCTCCCTCCTCTGTGCTTTCAGAAGGTACTGGCTGGGGCTCATTGGGTTCAGCAGCTGGCTGGTCTGGTGCATCCGGCTGTTCGGGAGAGACACCCTTAAGGTTACCCCCGGATATGCGTCGGAATTCTATTCGCATCGGCTCGCGGCCGATACCAGGCCATATGTCGGATGGCAAATAGTCCCCTTGCTCGACTCGGAATGTTTCGCGAGCATTGACATCCTCTTCGTACAGCTGATCCAATTTGTGTTTCGTTTCTCGAAGCACCTTTTCCACACGCTGTCGTACGTGCCGTCGGCGTGCCACTTCCAGAATCAAGCCATCATAGGCTTCTAAAAACCCATCGTAAAGGGTGTTGAGATCGGACAAGTCTGCTAGCCCACCGTTGATACGATCGTGCTCTTCGCCCCATACACGGGTGAAGCTGTGTGCCTGAGCAATATAACCCGGTAGACGCGCAGTTGCAAGAGACGACAGGTGTCGGAAGACGCCAGTAGTAGCATTGTAGATGGAGAGAAGAACGTCACGTTGAGACAAGACGTTCTCAAGTATAGACTCCATGTCGCCAATGCGATCTTGGATTTCCATGACCACGTCTTCGGCCTCTGCTGCATCCTTGATCAAGACATTCACCATCTCCTGGTAGTCAGACTCACTCAAGGGATCAAGTGGGGCGTTTAGATTGTCATGAATGCCTTGCTCGATATTCGGGACTCCACGGCCACTGACGGTGACGGCAGCGGGCATATCCCCGGTAATGGATCGCGCGGCAGCTCCACCGCCTTCCGTATGTTTTACAGCAGTTACACAAAGATCGAAATGCTGAACTAAGGACTCTAGCAGATTGGCCATTTCCTGCGCATGCATCTCCAATGACTGTAACATGGGTGGCATTGATGACAATGACGGCAGGCTCGAATTGGACGCGGATGACGATGATGAGGACGAGGAAGCTAACTTGGTAGCTTCTCGGTAATTACCCAGAGCTTGCTTGATGGACTGGAGTTCATCATCAAATGCGGAGTTGGAAGTATCCAGTTCCGCCTGCGCCTCATTGGTGCGATCAATTGAGCTCTTCAAAGCCGCACGAAGCTCCTCAACCCCACGTTCATCCACAAAGTCATGTAAGCTTCGGGGTTCTTCGCCGTCGGGACGAAATGAAGAGTGAACGATTGTATCCCGTAAGGAGTCAAGCGTCTTTCTCAACCGGGCATCAGCCGTGTCCAGGCTTTTCAAGACACTAGCGAACTCCGACCGGCCCCTGAGAGAGACTTCTTCGACTTCAGAGCGGACACTGTATAGAAGCCGCAGTTGATTGTTAAGCCCGCGTCGGAGAAAGCCAGTCCGTGCGGAAATCACGACACTCTCTTCCAGTGCAGAGCGAGCGGAAGTTACAATTTCATTGGCACGCCACACGTGATTGATGGATGACAGGGACCGTTTTGCTGCCACCAGGTGGGAAATGAGAGAATCCAACTGAGGCAATGCGTTACCCTGGTCTCCAGCTGGCGAATCGGGGCCAGACGCATCGCTGCCGGCCGATAATGACCCTGATGCTGACATTTTGGAAAAGGGGCCGGCGTAATTGGCGCTGATTGGAAATTATAGCGAAAGGAGGAATGCTGGCGTGATAGCCTGACAGAATGGCTCAATAATGCCCGATAAAACAGCAGAGTGTAGTGGTTCAGGGCAGAGCCGTTCAACGGCCGGAAGGAGTAAGTTTCGGAGCAACGTTACAGTAGCTATGTCGTAAGAAGTCATAAATCTAGTGCACAATCACCTCATGGGGCTGTAACAATAATGGAATCAGAAAATTTTCGAGTCCTTGATTTCGTCAGTTCTCAGTTTCAAGTGCGATCGACGAGGCCCTGCTGGAAAAAGAAGGATCTGGCGGTGAGTTTGCAGATGACTGGTCAACAAGACCTAGTAAGGTAACACCGGTGTAAGTCTCCGTCGACCGTGCTTCCTGTCGTACCGCCTGCAGTAGCAAACAAGGAAGCCTGCAGAAGAAGCAGGATGGAAGGCAAGAGGGGGGGTTATCGTGCCCAGGACTGGTCTGAGGAGCTGGTGGTTGATACCCAACGCTTCGTCAGTGAGAAGAAGTGTGATATTGTACGAGCTATGGGAGTAATGCCAATCCAGAAAGTCGACGCTAGAATTGGACCCAAAAATACCTGAGCGGAGCAATTGCGCCTCGCAGCAGGGGTCAGAAAGACCAGAGGCCTGAAAATGCGGGATTGGAGAGGGAGGTGACGATAGAGGACGGGATGGATGGAGTTCAGGCAGGCGACCTTAGCGTCTCGGAGAGCCCATGGGAGTTCGGCTCGAGGACCAGCTCGACTGCAGCTCCCTCACTAGCAGACTAGCTAGTTAGCCGATCGTCTGGAGGATCTGAGTCAAAGTCGGGGATCCGCAATTGACCCCGGCGATGGCGACAGCGGCCAGATAGCAATAGTTCGGGGGGGATGATCGCTGGAGAGAAGCACCAGCAGCGGTACTGCTTAGTGGTGCTTAGGGAAAGGCGAGAGATGTTGCGACGGGAGGCGGCGATGGCGCCATCGCTCGCACGTGATTGGACCCAATCGAGACTGGCAGCACGAGTCCATCATCGGCCTTTGCGTGATCACGTCTTTTTTTCCTTCGTTGTTCTTCTGGAATTCTTCTATTCGACATTTATATCTATACTCCTTCCCCAGGATTGTCTGGTCACTTTTCTTGAGATTGGCTGGTCCAGATCAAGCTCCTATCGTTTCTTGTTATCGGTCTATCTACCTACTCTGTACTAACAGCCTTTAATCGCCCTGCACCACTTGCGACCGTCTCCCGCCTCCCGTCCACCCTTCTCCGTCCTCCGCCCCGGTCATTGGCAACTTACTCAACTTTACTCAAACACCCCTCTCTCCCCAGGGTCCTCACCAGTCAACTATCTTGTCACCACCTTCTTTCTCTTTATTTCTGCGCTAGAACCCGTCGCAGAAATAGTTTATCTTGAAGCCATACAGCCTGGTGCTATCCACGACTGCGCTTCTAGCTCGCTGGTTACAGTAGCCGAGGCCACACGCTAGCGGGCGAGTAGCGGCGCTGCGGTTCCAGTGGCACAACTTCGGACTGCCGTCGCGTGGGAGAATTTACCACAGATCTTCAATCAGTAAGATGGAAAGCACACGGTCTCAGGAGGAGAAAGCCATATCCTCACCCCCGGCCTTCACATCGATCTTCGGTGGTCACGCTGACTCCGCGGAGGAGATCGATGCTGATGCCGACAATAGCCAGCTGAAGCCCCACAATCGCAACAACGTAACAGCAACTTCGGCCAAGCTCGTGGGCAAAAGTGTCGCCCCTTTCCTCGCAAAGCACGTTCCCGACCAATACGCCCCCCTCGGATCGCAAAACAGAGAACCTGCCGCCTTGAGCAGCGCAAACTCCCGCTATTGCTATCGACATCGCCCAGACCGTAAGTGTCGCCGGCAGGCCGACGAACCGACAATGGACAAATTGCAAAGGGTATGTCCTCTACCATTTTCGTCCGAAGGACACCGCAAAAAATGTTTGCATTCATGATCGTGGACTAACGGGGGTCTAGGAATTGGAGTCGCTCCCTCAGAGTGATCAGCAGGGCATTGCGCATGTCTGGTCGCTCTTCTCAGCCGCCCCAGCCAAGCACCGAAAACTCATACTCCAGGGAATCATGGCTCAATGCTGCTTCCCTCAACTCTCGTTCATTTCCACCACCGTCCGTGACCTCATCCGAATCGACTTCATTGCCGCTCTTCCTCCGGAGATCTCTTTCAAAATTCTGTGCTACCTGGACACCACTTCTCTTTGTAAAGCCGCACAGGTTTCGCGACGTTGGAGGGCGCTGGCCGACGACGATGTGGTCTGGCATCGCATGTGCGAGCAACATATTCATCGCAAGTGCAAGAAATGTGGCTGGGGACTTCCTCTTCTGGATCGGAAGAGGCTTCGTGAATCGAAGCGCGAGATTGAGCTTCGCGCCACGACCTGGGACGTCAACAGCCCGTCTCCGAAAGAGACTCCTGCGCTCCTTGAGGGTTCTTCGCCTGTCGCCGACAGCAGCATTGGTGCTAGTACTGGTAAACGAAAGCCTGAGCCAAGCGAGGAAGAGACTGCCGTCGTCAAACGCCACTGCCAGTCGCTCGCGATGCGCCCAGAAGGAAGCGAAGATTATTTCAAAACCCGGTACAGACCTTGGAAGGAAGTCTACAAGGATCGTTTCAAGGTGGGCACGAACTGGAAGTACGGACGCTGTTCGATCAGAATCTTCAAGGGCCACACAAATGGCGTGATGTGCTTGCAATTCGAGGACAACATCCTAGCAACCGGATCTTACGATGCGACGATCAAGATTTGGGATACCGAAACGGGCCAGGAAATTCGCACGCTTCGGGGACACGAATCGGGTATCCGATGCCTGCAGTTTGATGACACGAAGTTAATCAGCGGTAGTATGGATGGCAGCGTCAAAGTCTGGAACTGGCGCACTGGCGATTGCATTTCCACGTATACTGGTCATCGTGGCGGAGTAATCGGGCTGCACTTTGACGCTACCATCCTCGCATCCGCATCTGTTGATAAGACTGTGAAGATCTGGAATTTTGAGGACAAGTCAACTTGCCTCTTACGCGGACACACGGACTGGGTCAACGCGGTCCGGGTTGACACAGCCTCTCGCACGGTGTTCTCGGCGTCGGACGACTGCACGGTTCGGCTTTGGGATTTGGATACCAAGTCCTGCATCCGGACGTTCCATGGCCATGTGGGACAAGTTCAACAGGTTGTCCCTCTTCCCCGGGAATTCGAATTTGAAGAGCATGATGTGGAATGTGAGAACGACAACCTCAGCACTGTCTCCGGTGACACCGAGCCGGCATCTCTTCAGGCCACCCTTGGCCTCGAGTCGAATGCAGTTATCTCGCAGAATTCACCATTTGGCCCTTCTTTCGAGTCTGGTCGGACAGCACCGCCGCGCTACATCGTTACTAGCGCTTTGGACTCGACAATCCGTCTGTGGGAGACCAGCACCGGCCGGTGCCTGCGTACGTTCTTCGGCCATTTGGAGGGTGTCTGGGCTTTGGCAGCGGATACCCTGCGTATTGTGTCTGGGGCTGAGGACCGGATGATCAAGATCTGGGATCCGCGAACCGGAAAGTGCGAGCGCACGTTCACCGGCCACTCTGGCCCTGTCACCTGCATTGGTCTTGGCGACAGTCGGTTTGCTACTGGAAGCGAGGATTGCGAAGTGCGCATGTACAGCTTCCAGAGCTGATCTGGGCTTTTTTTTTTCTATATTTATGTTGTTTCTGCTGGCCTTCGGCGCTGGCTTACTTAACGTTCTTCTGACGATCAATACCCTTTAGTAGCGCAAAATTTTTTTTTTGATTGGATGGGTTTGGCTGGCAGAGGGATGGTGCATTTTTTCAAGGACTTATCATGGGGTGCCGGGCGTTGTGACTTCATACTGTGTACTTTACCTACAGAAAGATTAATTTACGGCATCAGTCTACATTTTGCTTGTTCTTAGAAAGATCCTTTCGACTTTCATGCCGCATCGGCTCCCTATGCTATCGTGGTGAGGCAGCATTTCCAGACGCCACTACGTAATCACAATATAGCATGTGATATGCAGAAGAGGAAGTCAAGAAACAGCGTTACAGCATAGTTATATGGCCTTTATCTTCAAGTAACCAAAGTGAGGCATACAGTCATAAATATTCAGCCCGCCATTATCACATAGGTTGCTACCAATCACCATAATCATCGTCATTATTTTCCTGTCTTGCAGTTCTAGACACACCCTTCTTGGGTATGAGTGGTGACGGAGACGGGGATCTGGAAAGTTGACGCTCTATCGCTCTGTTAGATATTCCCATGGGTATCAGGTTCCTCGAAGACAGAGTGACAAGTCTAGACGGGTTCTCTTTGAACACCGGCAGCTCCTTCATTCTCCTGTTACTTTTCATCGGGTTTGTCAACATTATCTTGAAAATAGGGATCAGTGACCGGTCCTCAACCATGCATTTTAGCCATTCCATCACAGTGGCTAGTTCTGCAAAAGTCTTGTCTTTGTCGAACCAAGAAATGGAGTCGATGATGCAGTACACTCTTGTGTCCGCCGGGAAGAGAGACACGAGCGAGTAAAGTGTGTCGCAGAGTGCGTCCAAGTCGTGCTCCTCGAGGTCTCTCAAGTAGTCCCGATTGTTGATGAAATTCAGGTCTAAAATATTCATCTTGAACAGTTTCATCAAGAGCTGCATGGCAATAGAACGGACTAGACCATTCGGCCCGTGCCAGGGATCCAGGGGAGCGGTGTGTAATCCACAGAAAAATTGGACCACCACCTCATCAGGATGGACTTCGATCATGCTAGAGACCAAGGTGGCGCAAAAGACTGAAATGGCGGACACCTTTGACAAGCCAGATGAACTGATGTTCGCGTCGACGAGAATCAGGTCGGGGTGATGGTTCGTTACCCATCGGTGTAACCGTTCATGTCGCAGCAACGATTGGACTTGGCCTTGAGTGGCTGCATTGAACCTACTCTTGTGCACGAGGGCTCGTCTGAAGTCTTCGTTTGGGTGCTGGAACAGGCGCTCTATATCGACTGGCTCGTCTTCAGTAGAGCTAGGTTGGGCTAAAATCTCGCAGAAACGATCCAAGCTGACCACTGCGCCGCGTTTCCGGTTATGGTTCAGTCGTTCTTTCAGCATAGCAATCTCATCATCTTTCTCTGTGAGATTTCATGTCAGCCAAACAAGTGGCTCGGGTGATTGTTTCATCCAGGCCCATATTTTTACTTACGTTTACCCTCGAGAAGGAGCGTCATGAGTTGGTTTTTTAGATTACGCGAGCCTTCTTCCAGGGCGCTCTCTCGCTTGGCGATTTTGCTCTTCGCCTCATCTTGCCCGATGATGAGATTGCATAACTCTTGGTATCTTCTTTCATTATTCTCACTTTCTCTCTTCATGGAGGTGGTGTTTTCATCGATTCCTTTCTTCAGGCACGTGGTTTCCATGGTCATGTGCTCCATGCCAGAGCTGATTTGAGACACCAAGCCATGCACCTCGCCCACCTCGCCACCTACACTCTCAAGCCTCACACCACTCTTCTCAATATCTGACCTCAGGATCTCTGTGTTGCTCTTCGTGGCGCTCACGTCCCACTGAATCATAGTAGTCCTGATGTTAGTATCTTGAGACACCACTGCCGTGCCCTCAATGGCCTGGTCTCGAGCCATGCCAACAGCACGCTCGAATTCCTTGGTTCGATCTGCCACATTTTGCAGAATTGTATCAGGATCGGGAGCAGGTGTCTTGTGCTTGAACTTAGGAATGCGTCTTCGCCCTTAACCATGATCAACAACTTTTACATTCCGGGGACTGATGTACGGTTGCCCACTTACATGTGGATTTCTCCTGCGAGGTCAATAGTATCATATTTTCGATAGAATCCACAACGGTTTGATAGAGATGTTCCGCGCAGGATGCGACTTCCTTGTTGGCTCGAAAGCTCGTTCGTGTTGGATCCGCTCGCATGAGGGCATCTCGCAATTCCGCGAACGTGTCGAATATTTTCTTGCGTTTCTCTGCTGAGTGTTCGGCAAGCTAGCATAGTGAGTCCCAGACCTTGTACAACCCTCAACAAGATATACATAAAACATGTGAGACTAACCTTGAACACCACTGCAAGACCAGTTTTGACTACAGCAAGCCCATACGCATCTGGTATGAGGGCGACCCACCCGTCGAGCATACTACTATAGTCGCCCATCTTGTACCAAATGGAATGCCAAAAACCCTCCTTACGATTGGTATATCGATCTTCTGTGTGATTTATTTTCTCGCACAAGCCATCCCAGCTATCTCCCTGGACACGGATGCCCAGGACGGTGCCTATGTAGATCTTCAAAGCCCTTTCTAACTGTCTGAATGCTTTTGTTAGACTCACATCAGGAAACGCCTCAGGTTGACACAGCAAGAACCGAACGCAGCTTACAAGTAAGGCCGAAACTGCACATATTCCCCCCGTTCCAGGTCGAGCTTAGACGACCCTCCAAACCCGTCATGGATCTTGTGAGCTTCTGAGTCGATGAACGTAGCAGTTGTCGCGACTTCTCTTCTGCCGGGGCTTTCCCAGTTCAAGTCCATTTTGTTTGACCACACATAGATGGAGGACTGAACCGAATGTGACGCTGACTCCCTGATGACTAGTAGGTGTTAATGGTGGGACGAAACTTGAGATAGTGCGTCCAGTACCGAGGAAGGAGAAAGCAGGCCTGCGCTGACTTGAGGGATGTCAACACAATGGCACTGTCAGAAGGCGAGCCAAACCGCTCGATCTACATACGAAAGGTATCGGCTAAATTCTATGGACACAGCCTCATTTTTCGTCCCGCTTATCGCGGCGTTGATCGAAATAACTGGGCTGGGAGCCCGAAAGCGAGCGCTGTGGAGCATGCTCTCTGCATTGATCACGCAGCTAAATACGGAACGAGTATGGTCCTGTCAGCTCCACGATTCAGCTTGTCGATCACCAGCACGTCAATCCGGTGCCACAGGTTCAGCTCTTCAGCTCAGCCATTCTGAGGACGCTATGTGGTTTTGACCGCAAGTGAGATGCGCCGATCGTCGAGAGGAGCCGTGTTATCAATCAAATTCGGATTCTCAGAGGCTCCATAAGTCATCTCCAAAAGTACCCTTTGGACACTCTTCATCCGTGAGATCCTGGTTCAGCCTGACAGCCAACACGCGGCTGCTTTTCCGTTCTTTCCACTACTTAAAGCTGGAGCATTTCTACGATCCGACAATTACTACGACTCGCCCGGAAGAATTCAGTCATAAATTCTCATAAGTTCCAGACAGCTGCCAGCCAGTTTCTTGTTGTTGCAAGTTAACAAAACTGCTGGTGGATCAGTCGTCTTCAAGCCTTTTAGACGGGTTAAAGCAAAACGGTCCTCTTGTCCAATTACAATCATGGCAAATCCAGTCAATGACACTGTGCCGCCAGCCGTCGTCAAACCCACCAGCACCGAGGCCACTAGTTCGGAGGAAAGCCCTTCCGACATGACGAGCCCTGTGGACATTGCTGTCGACTCGAGCAAAGATGATACACCTGCCGACACAACTGTCGCTCCATCAAACGGGGATGACAACATGACTGAGTCTGAAAAGGAGGAAGAATCATGGGAAGACAAGCTACAGAAGACGCCAAAGGTTGTCGACATTAAATGGGTTGATTTCGAACATTTTAAGAACTGCTATTCTCCAAGCGCAGGCTTAGAGATAATCCAAGTCCTAAGAGGCCATCCGCAAATCAACCACGAGATAATGAAAGAATACTATGTGCGGCAGAAGTACCAGAGAAAAATGAAAGGCAGGTTGCCCAAGTCGATCGTGGATGCTGAGTCGAGCTGGATCCAGCGCGTTCGGATCCAATCGCCACCGATTCTTCTTCTGCTCTCGCGCTTGAGCGGACATAATGATAACTGGGCAATCAACAAACCGCGGGTATTCTTTCCACCCTTCCGAGCATTCTACTACTACCTACCCCGGGTGAAGGAGTGTCTAGGAATTCTTGAGGCAAAGTGGGCCAAACTCGAAGCGCAGGGAGACGGGGATCAAGGAGCTGCTACAAAGGCCGAGGCCAAGACCAAAGCTGAGAGCGAAGAAGTAAAGGCGCCAGACGACTTAGACGGCGACACGGATGATGAATTAATTGCTGGTGACGATGCTGGGTCCGTGGATCCGGAAGAGGCCGTCGCCGGACCAGTTGTGGACTCGGTCACTGGACTCAGACATCTTCGACGATATATCAAATTTGTGGAAGCAGAGATCGTGCCGCTCTGGAACCGCGCTGCCGGCACCAGTCAACGTAAGGTTCGCTTTCTCGACCTCTGGATGTCATTCCAACCCGGCGAGCTCCTCTATGCACCCCCTAGGTCAGAGTTCTCGCAGACGTCGGGGACAGCCAAGTCTGCCAATGTCAAGATGTACCAAAGTGCCTGGAGACTTTACTCCATGGTGTTATCACCGATCCAGGATGACTACCTTGATGACACGCGAGTCAATCCCAAAAAAGAATTGACACTCTATGGCTATTACATTGACTACAACGGGTCCTCATATGGACCGGTTCGACACAAGTTCAAGATCCCGGATTATGCTGGGGAGAGAGACATCACGACCCTCGAAGTCTATCCGATGCGTTTTGCGAAGGATTCTGAGGCGATGATGAAGAGCCTTCGAGACCAGGGATCACAATTCCAAAATTTCGTGAGAGAGAGGCACTACTACGACGGATGGACGCTCGTCCATGGACCAACCGGGGATCCTGACTCGGAGCATCGAATAGCCTCCGAGCACATTGATGGTGATGTAATTATTGACTTCCTCGAGGGATACAAGGCAGAGTCTTCTCTGAGTTCACCATCGTTTGACGGTCTAGACTCATTTGATGACACTGACTGGCCGGTAGGAGATGATGAGCTTTATATCAAGCATTGGATAAACGGTTCGCGATCCAAACTTCTCGGGGAAATCACGGAGACTACGCAGCGAGGCGAATGGTTCGGCGACTGGCTGACCAAGCGCCGTCTGAAAGAGGACAGATTTCTCAGGGCATGGGAAGCCGGAACTATGCGACAACTCGGTGGAGATGACCTCGCACTCCTGCCACGCCGCGTCATCGCATATGCTTTTCGCGAGCGCAAGTTCGTTATGGTCGACATTTGCGGCCTGAAGAAGAAGGATCCCGCGCCTCAGAACGTCTTCAAAGATCTTAAGATTGACCGGGATCACAAGCGCATGGTTAGATCGCTAGTTAAAACGCATTTTGCGAAACAAGAAATCCAGAAACAACGACCCAACGCTGGCTTGAATCAGGACTTGATTCGGGGGAAGGGTTCGGGGTTGGTCATTCTTCTGCATGGTGTTCCTGGTGTGGGCAAAACTGCCACAGCTGAGGCTGTTGCTCAAGCCAACAATAAACCCCTGTTTGTCATTACATGTGGCGATCTTGGCTTTACTCCGAAAGAAGTCGACGCCTCTCTCAAGGATATCTTTCGCCTGGCTCATCTTTGGGACTGTGTTTTGTTACTCGATGAGGCTGATGTCTTCCTGTCTCGCCGAGAGGTGAGCGACCTGAAACGGAATGCTCTCGTCTCAGGTAAGGATCCAATTTGCCGCAACCCATATATCATCATAGAATATGCTGACTTTTCCCTAGTATTTCTTAGAGTCCTCGAATACTACAGTGGCATTCTCTTCCTCACTACAAACCGGGTTGGAACCTTAGATGAGGCCTTTAAATCCCGCATCCACGTCAGCCTCTACTACCCACCGCTGGACAAGGATCAGACCCTGTCAATCTTCGAACTCAACATCCGAAAACTGATTGAAATCCAAGAGGCGAAACGAAAGCTGCAAGCTGATGGTGATTCCAGCGCCCTCAGAGAACCGGAGTTGGCAATTAAAAGTAAGTCCATCATGGACTATGCAAAATGGCACTACGACACCCATGAGCAGCATGAGAGATGGAATGGTAGACAGATCCGAAATGCATTTCAGATAGCGTACTCTCTTGCACATTACGAAATGGAGAGAAACTCACAGGACCAATGGGACGAGGATGCCGAACCGAATGTCAAGAAGGCTAGCAACGGTCCCCAGGCAACACGTACACTGGACTATCGGCAGTTCGTTTCTGTCGCCAAGACCATTGAAAGATTCGATGACTACCTCTACGATGCCATCGCCTGTACTAATATGGACAATGCTAGGGACCTTGGCCTTCGAGCAGATGACCACGATCCCAACATGAATCACAGACCTGACTACCGTCCTCAGCCGCCGAGAACTCGGCGTCCGAATCATGCCCCTGCACTTCGTGCCTCACAGCAAAGTTACGGTCCGCCACGACCCGGTCCACCTCGGCGTGGGTACAGCGGCCAAGGTTTGGCGCAGCGGCCTCGACATCCAGGTGCCTCCCGACCAAAGTATCAACCTCCGGGCGAGGATCCAGATCTACAACCAGAACAGCGGCCAGGAAATTCAGCGATGCCGCAGAGGGAGAATGGTCGGCTTCCACCGCGGCTCCATCCGTCGCAGGTTAAGTCCCATCCTAGGCCGACCGGCATGCGACGCGGTGATGATTATTCTGGATGGAGCACACATGAGACCCATACTGCCGCTGTCCCAGATGATGACTATTTCTCGGACGATATGGACGACGGATATGATGAGTATGTGGATGGTCACGATCAAGATTATGATGATGAGTATGAGGAAGGACATTAGGCCTGTACAGCTCAATTACATTTGTCTTGCCGCGACGACGAAACACATTGTACGTGAAGAGTGACTATATGAGGGGCTTACATAGAACTTTCCGATGAGATATACGATGATCTTGTGTGTACTACCATTACATTTTAATAGAAACCTCAGCTGTTCCTGAAGCTGAGATTTACAGACACACTTATTCTCTGCATTGTAGTCTTATCTATAAATAGGCTCGATTCAATCTAAGTCTTTATCAGATAATCTTATGGTATTACGCTGCAATCCATGGAACTTGTCGGATGATACCTCGCACCTGATGACTGTTACAAGCCGCTACAGATTAAGCATGCAGGCTCGTCTTCAGACCTCTCCATTCTATTTACTTCGCTCAGGATTGACTGGTCCCCTGTTTCTTGGTACTACTATATATAATGGTATCGTCGATCCCACCCACTCAATCTGTCAGTTTAATCGATTGACCTATGTCCTAAATATGCTGGTATGAAATCTTCTAGTCCTTCATAGATTACGTGCGGATCTGTTCTACTGACCTATACTCGGGATGTTCCCGTATCCTCCTGCAATGTATACCAGTCACCGTGAAATCATGTATGTACAGCATCACCCAGCCGCGATCACCCCTCAAATTCGCAAAAGACGTCAAAATCACGACTATCATGTTTCCAAAATTTCTATACCCGTCAAGTGGTCACAATGAGCTATACAGAAAGTTCTGTCAACTATAAAACCCGTCCAGATTCCAGTGGGTTTGCTCCAGAACTTCTCCTTCGACAACCACCTCGTTTACTACTATTCCACACTCAACTCGACTTTACTACAACATCCTCACCGACACACTCTTTATTGATATTTATTCTTGATCAAACCTTAACTTCGACTTCTACTTTATCATTTCAACCTACCAACTACTCAACCTTCTATTCCTCCTAATCATCCCCTACCTACCACCATGCCTTCATTCTCATCTACCTTCTCCTCTATCTTCAAGTCCTCCAAGAAGAGGAATCCTACCAACAAGAACTCCTCCGACATTGTGGAGATGACATCTACTTCAAAGGCTTCTAATAAGAAGATCACTACTACTGCAGCCAGTAATGGCAAGAATATCAACAACGTCAATAAGAATACCAGCAAGAGCGACAATAAGATCGCCAAGGACAACTACAACAACATGACCAACAGAAGTTTCGACATGGCCGATAAGAGCCCTAAGAACAGCTATTACAATAATAAAATCTCCGCCACCACTGGTACCAACGCCACCAACAACAGAAACAATATCGGCAACGACTACAATAAAACTGATAACAACATCGCCACCAACGATACCGAGCCAGTCGACCTCGGCATACCTCGCAGAGGCCAGTACATAACCCGCGATGGCATCGACGTCGTGGCAGTCCTTGAGACTTGGTAAGTTCAGCTGACCCTTCTTGTAAAACAGCTGGCTAATATGCAACAGGCATCAAATTTACACTGGATGGCAGATCGTCTCTGCTGAGCTAGAGAGGAAGGAGAAGATGCGCCAACGTCGTCGGTTATGTGAGTATATAAGTCCTTACATAGTAGCAGCGTAGTAAACTAACTGCTGTGCAGAAACGGAGTTACCCGACAACACAGACAGCAGTCGAGGAGTCGATTGGATTATCTTATGTATGGGGATGCTATTTATCTAGTGTAATAGGGATTCCTGTAGGTTTTCGTCCCCATGAGGGTTTTCCTACAGGCTTTTATACCCATTGTGAAGGCAATTTGGTATGTGGTATAGAAGATAGAATTATGATCCTGGAACTAAATATAAATGAATTACTGCCTGTATTCCTCTTTATCTACCAGTAATTTGAGGTGTACCTCTGTATGAGTTGGGTTATGTTTGTAGTCCTCGATAGAAAATTCGTCGATTGAGATTCTCCCACCAGTGTTTCAGTGCTTGTAGGTCATGTTCTGAAGAAAGAAAAAGCATTAAGGATAAGTTTCGAGTCCTACTATTTCTCTGTTGAAAATTGTAACTTTTGTTCTCAATGAGGTCTTTAACCTACAGCTTTGCCATCACTTGTCTTGCAACTAACAGACCAACCAAGAAGGAGACAGAGTATTCCAGGGTTGTAATAGATCCAACCCTCTATAATATCACCACCTATATCTTAGGAACCTGAAATAAGGCGCTTTTATGTTTATAGTGTCAAACCCGCAGCGCCAAATGTCAAAGTCATCTACATCACAATCGCGACACATCTGACTCACCAGGAACAGCTTCACCCTGTCATGACATATTATGGCATCATCACAACGGGATCTCCTATTCCTCATTACGAATCTACATTCCTTTCCTCTCCTTCTCTTTACCATTATACTCTATCCCATCAAACCCACTACTTCATCCGTATCAACCACAAACACATCTAACCCTCAATATACTAAACAACCACCTCGAACTCACCATATACTCCCAACAAAATGAAGTACACAGACGGCCAAGTCACCCACTACTCGTCCCAGATCATCGATCTAGAAGCCAACAAGCAGAGCCCATCCACGGAAAACATCCCCTTGTCGACGTATACCACTGCACCGACTCAGCCTTGTGACACCCCCTGGCCGGGAAGTACACAGGGCCAGACAACGGCTCAGGAACAAACAAAGGCATTGGAAACGAGACCTACCGAATCATTTGGTAAGAAGCCCTCTTGATATTGAGTTATGCAAAAAAGAACATGCTAACAAGCATCTCAGGAGCCGCGGAATGCTGTGGGATCTGTTTCATGCTTTTTATGTACATCATCGGTTTTGCGTCTGTAGGCTTTCTAATGTTTGGGATTTTCTATTGGGCCTTGTAGTGAGTATATACTCCTTTTGTGTGACTAACCGATGAGGTAGAATTTTTTGCTGATGGTGTGATAGTGTGCCTATCTCTGTTACGATGTAGCCAAGACGATGCTTAGAGGTGACTTTGTGGATGAATGATGATTGGGATGGAACGGAGTGAATGTTTGAGTTGCTTGAGGGAGATGGATGACTTGCTGATATGTGTTTGTGATGTTGTTGATTTAGCGAATTTGTCACTTTGGGTTAGTGTTGGATTTGACTGATTTGCTCTTGGAAGAGTCTTTTCTATGTGTTGGTCAGATGTTACTGTTATACTGGCTGTGAGATGTTAGGAGTATCTGCGAGGGAGATGTGAGTTTACTTGTATGATACCCAGGTTACTTGTCAACGACTTCTACATTGACTATTTTGAAAGTGTAGTCTAGTGAAGTATAACCACCAGTAAGCAGCATGTCCCTAACAGCACGGTTCAATACAACCTCACTCTATAATCACATCTCAGCATCCACACCCACAACCTATACCCACCAACTACCAGCCCAGTATCCTCACCTCACTCCCTCCCCAGCCCTACCACCATACCCTATACCCTTCCTCCCCTCCCACTTCCAACACCTACAACCCACCACCACTACCAAACACGACTCTACCAACAATGTCCCCCCCAACTCCGCCAACTCCTCCAACCTTCCAACACCTCCTCGCCCGCCTCGCCCTCGCAAAGCGCCTCTTTCTCAAACCGAAATCCAAACGGCGCCGCACACATCAAACCACCACCACAAAGAAGAAACCCACAACTACCCCTCCCGCACGCGAATACTCCCTCCGCAAACGCCCTCCACCAGTCACCACCCCAACTACCCTCCTCACCTCCTGGCGCGACGAAGAGGACAGCACCGACGACGACGACTACGATCCGCGAATCGAGCGAGCGTACCTAAAACGCAAGAAGCCAGTGAAGCGAGCAAAAACATCCTCATCGGAGAACGGGAACTTGAGTCTGATCGTGAAGATCAAGATCAACATGGAGAGTGAAGCCGGGAAGGCTTTCCTGAATACGTTGGGGATGTATCAGGATGATAATGATGATAACGACCCGATAATCGCTGACGAGGGACTTGGAATTATGGATGATGGAGATGTAGCCATGGGAATGTCATTACCATCATCAGCGTGCAAGCCATGCATCGAGACAGGGCGGCTATGTTCCATAAGCAGCACACATCCCCTGAATGGTCAAGAACCAGACACAGGGATAATAAAGTACCCATGCGAACAATGCATCCAGGACACTATTACCTGTGAACCCATGTCCACCCAACCCACACCTACACTCCCCAATACCCACACAACAACTCTTCCAGAAAACAACACCCCCATAATCCAAACCATAACAACAATAACCACCTCCCTCACCCACCCCATAACCCTAACCCCAACATCCCAAATCTGCTCTTTCTGCCCTTCCATCACCTACAGCCTCTTCGGCCACTACCAACCCCCGCGAACAATCTCCGTCTTACCGATCCTGCCCCGGGGGAACAAATTAGGTGATTACATGGAACTCCACCCGCAATTATCTACTACTACTACTACTGCAGCAACACGCATGTGCGTGACCTGTGCATTGGAACGATTGCGGATAATGCTGTGCGGTACACACACCCCCACATCATCATCATTATCACCATCTTCAAAATCTTCCTCTACATCTGGATCAAATTCCACTTCCGCATCTAAATCCATCTCAACACCAACAACCCACAAAATCCTCCCACTTACGGGCTACGACCCCAACACATTTGACTTCGAGGCCGCGTATGCAAACCTCGCTTCATCATCATTATCTCTATCTTCAGCATGTTCACTACAAACTACTACTACTACTAGTAACACCTGGTGTTCTCTGTGTCCGCATCCTGCATTTTATGGATGTGCGAGATTGCAGAGTAGGGATGTATACCTGGAGGAAATCACAGAGCCTCAGGCGATGGGTGTCGGATGTGGGTTGTTGCTTTGTGAGCGGTGTGAGGTGTTGATGCGGATGTATAAGGGGAAGGTGGAGGATGTGGTGAGGAGGAATGAGGAGGACGCGGTGAAGAATAACTTTACTACTGGTGGGGGTGGAATTGGAGGGAGTAGAGCGGATGTGGGGTTTTTGTTAAAGGGGGAGTGGCTTTGGAGGGTGTTTATGGGGGAGGGGGATTGTCTTCGAACTTTTGCTGGTTCTTAAAGGATTGGATAGTATTGATGGATGCATCGATCAAGGGCATTTGAATTAACTTGATTAAGCCAATATCCGTAGATTAAAGAGTTTCAGTTCGCCACGCCTCGCTAATACATAGAAAATTCCAACGCCGTCAGCTGCAGATACAGTCTTCCTGCAGTCGTAACAATGAACTTCGAGAAATTGCACCGAGTCAAGACACCGGCATCGACTCCTGTCCCTCCAGCGGCTTCCGTCGGGGAATTTGCACCCCGTTTCGCAGCTGCTCCAATTTGATCACTCCCGGTCCTGTGCAGATCCGTCCGGTCTGCATCAGATTGCGCAGGCGTTTGCGCCGCGCCTCGCCACTGCGCTCCTCACCACGCCCGACCCCTTCATCTACCCACTCGACTCGCTGCACCTTGAAGCTCATGCCGTCATGCGAGCCCTCCCAGGCTCGCGACTTCAATCCGAACAACACGCTGGAGTCGTATCGCTCCAACCGGGGAAGAATCAACAGCGTAATATGCAGGTCCTTGTCGTTTGGTGGCACTGGCGGCACCCGGGGTCGCTCGCCATCTTCCGCGCCAACATCTTGCGCCGTTTTAGGTGCATGCTGATACGTGTCCCTGATTTCCAGGTCCAGTAGATCTACATCCACATCCTCACCCCAAGCACCGCGGATGAAGCCAGAGTGGATTGCCGCCGCAACAGGGTCCGAGTCGTCCGTATACACGCCCGTGCCCCAGAGGGCGCGACGCGCGCAGATCTCCTCGCGATGGCTGGTGTCGATGCGGAAACGCGGCACGCGGATTGTAAACGTGCAGTTCTCCTTGCCTTCAAAGCGAGGCAACGGAAGCGGTGTAGTCGTGTAACCGAACTTGGCACTTTCCAAGGTTGCCTTCTCGGTGGGTGCGCCGATCCGGGGCGCATACAAGGTCGAGCCTAGGTGGTGTCGAGGCAGATGGGCGACGCTCGACAGGAGTGGTTCGATAGTAACCACCGTGCGAGGCTCGCGCATAGGTGTGACAGCCGTATTCCCGGCCGGTCGGGGAGCATGATGGTGGTGATGATGGTGATGGTGGTGGTGATGTCCAAGGGCCTGCGCTGCGGCGGATGCGCTGCCTTCCCCGGGCGTGGCCGTTCGATGGAAGAAATTTACCGAAGACAAGGGACGGCTAGAGCCAAGAGCGGCGGCAGCAGCAGCGGCAGCTTCTTCTTCTGGCTTATGGCGATGATGATGATGGCTGTGCACATTAGCATGGGTACTACAAACCTGAAGAATAGGGAATAACGTACTGATGGTGGTGGTGATGGAGATGCCGGCTCCGTCGACCGCGGGCACCTAGGGCGGCCGCCTCGCTCTCGGCGCGACCATCCTCGTCGCGCGACTTTCGCGATCGCTTCCCATTCGCTGAGCTAGGCCGAGCAATCTTGGGATCATCTGTCTCCCCATTGCTGGACCGACCAGCCGCACTGTCGCGTTTGAACGGGCTCGGAGCCATGGGAGTCGAAGGACCACTGCCACCAGTGGTAGCAGTGACCCCTCCCACACCACTTCCAATCCCGGAGAAAACTCGGCCAAGCTCATTTTTAATTCCGGCCTCGCCCGCGGGACCCAGGATCTGAGCCTGGGCACCCTGCACCGCCTGGGGCAGCGGCGATGCGCGCCCCCCTCGCTTCGCATCTAATCCCACCCCGAGAAGGTTACGATGCGCCATGAGTTCATCACTTCCTTTGCGTCGCTGGTCATCCGACGACGCGGAGTGAACGGCCGAGGGTGGGCCAGCGGACGATGTGGGCGGAAACGCGCGAGTCTCAGTCTGCAGCTTGCTGAGGTATGGCGGCTGATCGTGTGACGGAGGAGGCGGCTGATTGGGAGGGGGATGGACGGAAAGCGAGGGCTGTCGCGACCCTCCGAGCTGGGAGCCCAAAGACTTGGTGTAGCTCTGAATAGCGCCAAATCCAAAACCGGCGCCCGCCTCCGGGACAGAGAACCGTTTCGTCTCAGGCGACGGGGGCTGGGACCGGCCCAAGTCCCAGGCAGACGCGCCTTGTTGGCGATGCGCTGCAGCCTCCCGGTCCCCGTAAGGCGGCCCGTACCGTGATGGAGGGTGAGACGCGGCCTTGGTTTCAGCCTCGTGCGCCATCGCACGTTCCCGTTCGCGATGGGCCTGTTCCTCCGCGTGTCGATCCGCATACAGGCCTCCGTACCGGTGATGCTGGGCCTCATGGCCCATATATGATGCTGCTCGCTGATGCGTACCGGCAAATGGACCCTCTCCGGGCCCGGCCACGGCGGCAGGCCGTGACAGCGGACTATATCCAGTGGTGCGAGGCGGCGGTTCGAGGTGCTGCGGCTGGCTGTTGGGACGAGGGGCGGGTCCGCTGAAACTTAAGCGGCGTGGTTCGTTATACGGAGCTTCGGCGGACGATATTTGGGGCGAGGGATGGGTGGAGCTGGGCTTGTCGGGATACTGTGACGATGGCGGGCCGCGGGACAGGCCACCGAATTTCGCCTGTTCTGTCATGGGCTGGGGAACACCGCCGGAGCCGGATCGGTATGGACGCGACGGCTGGTTCTTCGCAAATGTCTTTTCGGGGGTCTGGGAGCGTCGAAAACCTGGGTATTCGAGCGGGGACGGACGCGCTGGCGCGGTCGGCGGGGACATGGCACCGGGGGCCGACGGTGGGTGGGCGTTCCCATACGGGGCGGACGAGACTGGAAGACGCGAAAAGATGGACGAAGAGCCTACATCCCGGCCTGGTCGGTCAGCGTCCGAGCCTAGCATGGACGATATCGACATGCTGCTCCCTGGACGGTGATGAGCCGGGTTGCTGGGAGGCTCACGCGACAAGAAGGGAGTGGACAGGGACGGAGCATTTCCCGTTTGGCCTCTGGAGGGATAGTGTTGGGGTGGTGAGGGAGGAGGCATACGTCGCGGCCCTACTGGCGGCGCAGCGGACTGCTCTTGGACACCTATGATAAGGGAAAAGTCGGAGTTAGCCAATATGTCCGATCAGCATAAACAACAGATACACTGCAAGAGAGAACCAGAGTGGTTGCAGCAAGCAAGATAAAAAGGACATCAGGGGATTGTTGCGCGAGTCCAACGGCCTGCGACTCACCAGGGAACGCGGGACTGCTACTGCTGCCCAAGGACCTCCGGCGACCCTGGTCATGCGACGGGGGAGGATTCATGTCGCATGCAAAGGGGGAGAAGGGAGCTATAAGGGAACGCGACAATCAGGAAAGGGACAGATAAGAGTTCAACCGGGAGGATAGTAGAATTAGGAAAGGTAAGTAAGCGGCAGGGGGAAAAGAAAGGGCCCGAGGGGGCGAAAAGAGAGGGAAGGGAGATGGGAGTGAAGGAGGGAGGAAGATGACGATGGCAGCAGCTGATGGGCGGCGAAGGAAGAAAGAATGGCGCGCGACAAGCAAAGCGAGTTCCGAACTGGGGCAGAACCCGTGACTCTGGGCCTGGACGAGCTCATGTCCGACGCTAGTCCCACCTGGGAAGCGATGCCCTGGCATCCCGGACTAGCCCGGATCGGGCATAGCGTTCCCGAGGCTTCCTGGGCTGGAAGTCGATCAGGCGCCACAGACGCGCCGCCTGCACCGCCCCTGATTGGCTCGCACTGCCGGGCACAAAGTTTGGGTTCCTTGTCGGAATTTGGCAGTGACACTGGGATTGTAGTACGGATAAACAAATGCTGCAGCCGCGCCACACTGCACCCTCGCAGATGGCTAGACTCCGATCAGAGGAGTTTTTTCTTCTTCTTTGCATCTTCCCAGTTCGGACAGCTTCTGCTCCTTCTCGCATCTTACTTGCTTCTAGTCATGCCCCCAGAGGTCCGGTCATCGCGACGCGATCATGGTCTGACACTCCCGCATACCGGGCTCGTAGTCACATCCCAACATGGATAGAATATAAGAAAACAAAAGACCCAGAGAAAGGAGAGAACCGCACGATAGCAGAGCATTATTTGGGGGTTATCGGGCAATTTAATATAACTTGAAGCGATATCACAACCAAAGAAAATGCAAGTTGCCTACCTTCACGATATACCACCCGACGTTCGGGCTTGTTGACGTGACTGATCGGGTAATGAGGGTCTGGACGATGTTCAGGCTCTCGATTGCCCCCGGGAAGACTCTGCTCCTTCAGCGAGACATGGCTCGCTGCTGATGTGTGATACCCATTGCTCTCTGTTCGATATGCCGCGTAGGCGTTCTCATGGGCGTACGAGACGGGGGGCACGGAGGTAGGGACCGAGGAGGGCGGGTAACTGTAGGTTGGGGTGATACCGGATCGAGGCATCTCGGGCTCACGGCGATGAAAGTGGTCATAAAACATGCGTGGTGAGGAAGGGTGTGATGGTGGTGGAGGCCCGTAGGCGCGAGCTGGCGGCGCGGGGGGCGCAGCACGAGGGTCGTGGGCGACGACGCCCAACATGGACGGGTGCGTATGGTATGGATGATGAGGATGGTGTTTCTGAAAATCCATCATCATCTTCAGGGGAGGGGTGGATTGGGACGAATGGGGATTGCTGGCAGCATGAAGGTTTTGATTGATTGACTGGGGGGAAGGAAAGAATTGGGTTGGGGTTCGGGCGCGGATGGATGGTTGTCAGTCAGTCAGTTAAGGTAAGGTCGCGAAATGGCGGTAAAAGTTGAGTTTAATCGACCCCGAACGGGAGGGTGGGGAAGGAAGAAGAAAAACAGAACACGGAGATCTTCAGTCGGATCTGGTAGCCGTTTCAATTCAACCGGTGATAAGGGGAGGGGAGGATATGGAGAGCAAGTGGAGGAAGGGGAGGGAGAGGAATGGATATGAGAAATGGAACTAGAAGCAGCTCCGAAAGCTCTGTGGATGGAGGAGGGAGGAGAGAAAGGATGGAAGCACGCAGCGAAAAGCAGGAGAAGGGGAGGGAGAGAAAGAGGAAAAGACGAGTGGAGAGAGAGGAAGAGAGAGCGAGCGAGAGAGCGAGAGAGCGAGGGAACGGGAAAGGAAGAGAATTAGGGAAAAACGGTGAGCGACGGAGCCAGGGAAACGGCGCAAGAGTTCCCTGTGAGGACACATCGGAGGGCTTTCAAGCCAATCAAGCGCATGCAAAAGAGCTGCTAGTCGGATCGATTTCAATCAGACGAAGCAGAAAGCAGAAAAGGACGAGCTCTCGACTTGAGTGTGGTCGGAGAGGCTGCAAATCCAAGTTGGCCCGATGGGGCCGTCGTGGGAAAGCGGGGAAACCTGGGTGGATCCCTCCTTACAATTAATTCCTTTGGACTTCCAACATACTTCCCTATCTTGAACAATTTCCTCCATATTTTTATTTAGTGTTCGATACATCACGGTTACAACTCTTTTACTTACTACTTAATAACGATGCCCAATCCTTCAACCTGGCCACTCTTCCAACAACCCTCCACCCCTCTCCACCCGATCGCTGCCCGTTGGCATCCATGCCATGCAGCCCGGCGACGTGTCATGCGTCCTTCCAGTGGATAAAATCTACTAGGCGGGTGGGTAACAAAAAAACACTCACATTTAATTATTATTATTCTCCCCCCAGATGTGCAGAATTCCTCACGGACATTCAAGTATGAAGGCGACCTCCAGCATAGCACAGACAATTCGAAAATAATTTTGAGATAAGGGAAAAGGGGAACTAATTAAAAGTCTTACTATCCCTACAACAATGACTGGCTAGTGATTTTCGTTCCCTCCGCCTCAACCCGGCTAGCGACACACAATATACCAAGTATAGTAGCACTATACTTGTACACCCGTGCAGCCCGAAAGGCATGCTGCTGCTGCTGCTGCTGCGACCTGCAGGATGGATTGGCACCCTGAAAGTATCAAGCATGGAGTACAGGCGCAGCAAGCAGCAGGCATGACTAATGACAGCAAGAAATGCCTCTTTTTTTCCCCACCCTGCAATGTCTGAACCTGCCGATCCTGGCCGATGTGACCCTCCTTTCTTATTCCTCAGTCAGCAGTATCAAGTAACTTATCTAGTTACTCTACTTGATTTTTTCGATCGGATCTCATATACTGTTCTCGCATTTAGAATGTTGTAGGTCGTGGAAAAGAAAAATGTAGTACTAATGAGAACAAAGGAGGTCGGGGGTTTTCAACTCACCATACACTCGTAGTAATTACAGAGTACTACGGCATACTTAAGATAAGGAAATCTATATGCAAAATGGGTAGCATAGTATACTAGTCCACACCCCTCGGACGTGTCAGCGTACATTCTTCGGCTTAATCAATCATCCAGTTAATCTTGGCTCTGGATGATTGTAATGCTTAGATACCTGCCAAGGCATGTACTATGAGATCGATGGCATTCCCCACATTACTGATGATTTAAAGTCAAGCTCCCCTTGCATACCCCTTCTTTCACTTCGTTCATGTGGTCGGTGTCATCGCCACTCCTGACCATACCATGTAACAGACTAGTTGAGCTAGCACACTCCTGGGTCTTCAGCATTTACTGACGGAACAAATGTCATGTGCAGTACTGGGTATCATTTGCATTAATTAAAAGCACTAATCATGATCATAGAATAGTTTCTGCCTCACGGGACACAACTACTTGCCCCATGTCCTGGGAGGATGCAGCGGGTGGCTGGCGGCCGGAACGGTCCCCCGCGACCCGATGCTGAAGAATCGCCGCCAGCCCCGGCTAGCACACCCTGTCCAGTCCACCTCGATGAGATCGGCCCCCTCGTTCACCAAGATGCGCCAGATAATGCGGCGCATCCCTTCCGAGTGGCACGGTATGCCTTCGTACCGAGCCAGCAACCCCTTTTGATGCGCGGTTTGCACTTGACTCTGGATCCTTTCGATCTGCTGTCGAGAAAATCGCCCGCGATAAGGAGATCCAATGGTCTCGGCAAAGTTGATGGAGGCACTGTACATTTGGAGCGCCTTGGTCAGAGATGAATCTTCGTCGGAGCGGGGAAAGGTCCCCGGTAAGTTCTGCTCAGAAAATTCCATTTCGTCTTCCGTCGAGGTCTGGACAGCAGCAAACTCTTCGACTTCTGGTACGACTGATTCATCCAAGAAGATACTCTTGCCAACGCTCTCATGGTCAATGGAAAGACCATCAAGGTCCACTTGCTCTTGACCTGTCAGAACAATAGTAATAGGCCCTGGGACAACCTGTGTCCCATTTCGGTGGGTAAGATATCCCCGTTCGCTGAGAAGCGCCAGTTCAGATAAAAGACGAGGCCACACACTGTCTGCAGAGGACCGGATCTCCAAGTACAATTTGAATTGTAGTGAATCCTGTCCAAACAGTCCTGTCGCGACCATGGAGTCGTGGTCGGGCTGAGCTTCAGATAAGCTCATAGCATCAAAGTGGTCCAATAGTGGTTCCAGATACACCTTGCGCAGCGTGGACTCGTTCCTGAGGCTCGACCATGAAGAGCCTACAAGAATGTCATCGTCCTGTAGCCAGATATCGGCCTTGACTCCAGTACAGCCCGCCGCAAGGGAGTACTGGATGGAATTTGAATGAGCTCGTGGGTTGTAGGATATACAAGCAGCTGGCTGGCCTTCAAACTCCGCAGGCCAATGAATAAATCCCGATTGTGCTTTGTACTGCTCGTGTAGGAAAAGATAGGAGACGCCGTATGGCAAAAGCGAGAGAAATTGAATCGCCACTCTACAAGTGAGTTAGTAAGCCCTAATCGCATGCCAGTCGACAGCTGGTGGAAGACATACAAGAACATCAAGAACAAACAGATCAGAGTAAGGGCGCGATCACTCCATCTCTTGTTCACTGCGGCACAGCATTTCCGAAGTACCCAAAGTACACCGGGACAACATTCCGTAGGATGAGAGCGCAACGGATGGTCCTCCAGCAACACCCACGAATAGGCATCGTACTCATCAGCACCGAGCAGGGGCTGGGTGCTACTCGCATCGCGGACGTTGACGTGGGTTGTGGCGGCCATTTGGCGGTCCCAAGTCGCCCGCCCGACCTGCTGCATCTAGAAGGGGGTGGTGGAAGGCGATCGACGGGTAGATACCAGAGAACCCCGGACGGGGAGGTCGATGCGGTGAGTGAGGAGCAGGAGGGACGAGGATGGTCGGATTTAAAAGGGGGCAAAGCGTGACACGAAGGCAGGCCCAGACAGCAAGAGATCCATGGTCCTGTGCGACGCTGGGAGGGCAGAGTTAAGTAACATGCCGACGAACACACGAGATGGAGAAAGTGGATGGGGATGGGGATGATGATGATGTATAGCTCCAGAGCACGCCATTGTCGGCGGCGATGGTTCGGATGTTAGGGAGAAGCACCTCATGGAGATCCCGTCTGCGGTGAAGGGAACACGTCGGTCATGCCCATCATCTTGACTTTCTGACTATTGCTCCGACTGCAGCCGATTTGCGACCTCACTGGCTGAAAAAAGCAGTCCTTGCATTCAATGCATTGATTGCTATTGTTTCCCACGCTTCTTCCAGGGGCATGCTCACATGTTTGTGGTTGAAGAAAGTAGACATGGAAGGATAGAAAGCATCAAGTCTGGGCACCTCGCGGAGCCCCGTTCCGAATATTTGCACCTCTCGTCTTGCGTGAGTTTAATTCAGAAGACCCCATTTATCTTGCGACTAGTGGCACTCCTACGGTAGCACCAGCTCCAATGGGTGGACGGACCATCCAATCATGATGATCCTATCCCCTCTCCCTCATGACGATCATCATCACCCATTGGTGCATCGGTGTGATGCAATCGGATGACTTATTGGGTGCTGCATGCCAATCCCGGCAATTGCAGGCCATCTTCACTTTGTTCATTTTGTATCTTCATCAACGCCCCTCTTTCATCGGATTCTTGCACTGTGAATGGAAACTCGATGACGAGACTAACGGCCGGTTCCTTTGCTGAAGCCGAACCCCGATCGCGTCCAGCAGCTCCGGAAACGGGCCAGGCACAGTAATGGGCATACTTTCCCATCAGATCATTAAACTAAAGCCGCCGTCGCGTGTTAGCGTCGGGTCAATCACCCAGCATTGTTCAAGGGCATGATGCCACTAGCTGCCAAAGCGAGAGAACGCGTCCCAGCTCCCGACCGTGAAAGGGTGTGTGCCACAACGGTCGGTCCGTTGCTAACAAGGATTGGAGAGTGACCACTTAGGGAGAGTCGGTCGCAAATGATAAGATGATAAGTTAGAAGAACAATTTTCGCAGGGCCTCACTACTCCGATCAACAGAGACAAGAGAATAGTCGGCGATCGAACTTCGATCAGCGTGTCTGGTGCGGACAAAATCCAACAATGGGTTGTTCATGTCTAGTCCAACAGAACTGAGAGTTTGAATTATGAAGCGATCCTTAAACCAATAGTTTAAGGTGTTCTCTCGATACGGATAAACCGGCCCCAGTTATCCGACTTGGACGATCTGCCTTTTGAGCCAGACTTTAGAGGTCTAAGCTTAGCAAAA